ACCTCAAACTTCTTCTTCTTTTTGATGGCGGGTTGACGTGGTGGCTGGTTGACGTGGTGGCGCCTTGGCGCGTTCCCCTAATATTATTAGCAAGATTTGACATATCGTTGATTTGACACTACAGCTACATAGCTTTTAAATCGTGCCTGGTACGATGCCATAGCTTATAATGTCATAGCTTATAATTGCGAATATGTTGCATAGCTTATAATCTTGAAAATGTGGCATAGCTTATAATGGAAAATTTAAATTGTTCCATCGCTTATAATCGTAGAAATGTGGCATAGCTTATAACGGTTTTCTTAAAATGTGGCATAACTTATAATGGTATAGCTCAAATGTGCTGCAGCTTATAATATCTCGTTTGTTCTATAGCTTATAATTTTCAAAATGTGGCATAGCTTATAATGCGCGGGAATGACGTCATAGCGGATGGAACAGCTGATTGCTCCTCAGTAAACAACCAAATTATCGTGCGATGGTCCTCAAATTATCGTACGGACTAGCAGCCACTACTCGGCAATAGAAGTTGCGTTAAGTGCAGCCAACATAGCAAAACCCAAAATATTTTAAAACTCCTGAAAGCAAAAAGATCATATGTACTCGATGTATATTAAAACGTGTTTTTGTTTAATAGTAGAATAATAATTTTGGGTATAGGCCTATATTGTTATTCTTTAATTATGTAAACTGAAACATATTATCAAAAGTTTGATACTGCTCGTGATGCTAAGTTATACTATGCATTTTTTTAACAAAGTTTTATTTACAATCGTATAATAACTAGTTTTTATTTTATAATATTTATTTTGTAATATTATGTAATACCGGCAAAAAAATACTTTATCATAGATAAAACCATAGACTATGCCACATAAGTAGACTTCTCATCCCATTGTTAATTTTGAAGCTTGTTTTTCTTGTCTATTATTTCATGTACGTCACACTTATCGTGCTACTGTAGACGTAATCTTGTTTCTATTATTTTAGGGGTATTTTCATTTGTGCTTTACTGTTTGGTTTTATAATTAGGACTAGGAGACCAGTTATTGTTTATGATTATATCTTTTATTTCGTTAAATGAGGTTTTAAATAACTGAAACAAGAAACAAATTTTAAACCAAACACAACCTCAACAGTTGGTACAGAACTAACAATAAAATTGGCTTCAGCTGTTCAACAAGGATGAAAAATCTACTAAGGGACTTTATGTTTTATCTACGATACAACATATTCCCTTAGCCCTTAGTAGATTTCTCATATTTATAGAACAGTTGAAGCCAAAACTTTAGTTTTTATTTCAGTCCGGTGCAATGTAGATTGGAGAGGTCATGTTATGTTTACAATTTGTTTCTTGTTAGTTCAGTAAATTTCTTTATTGTTATTGCTGAAATAGTTCAGCCTTCGTTTAGCCAAATAAAACTATCTTGTCATGTAGCGGTCAGTGTCGCCGGACAAGAACTAGACACAAAAAACGAGCTTAAAAATTTACAAATTTTAAAATTGACCGTCAGAATTCTGTGTTGAAAGACAGAATTATCTTGCAGGTGTTCACATTTAAAATCTAAGTCAAATTTAACAACCTGGCCTTACTCTCTATGAAAAATTAGAACTATGAGTTTTAAAGTCAGAAAGTGCGAAGATGAGTATGAAACCTGAATAATGGTTGTATTGCTATGGGAGCGCGTTTTTAAGACGCCACCACGACACACAAGGATACGTCGATAAAACGTTGGTTAGTCTCTATGGTAATACAGAGAGCCAGAAAGTAGTATACCCTTCATGCAATATAATTTATTGAAGCAAAAAATTGATAAAAATTGGCAAAAGTTGTATTGTTGTATAACAATTTTAAAACCTTTTGATTTAAACTTCATATTACAACAATTTTAATATAAAATTGTTGTCATTTAAAATTTTAAAATTGTTTAACAATCAGTTTTTTTTGGTTAAAAATAAGTTTTAATACAAGTTGTAACTATTTTACAACAGTTTTAAAATCGTTTAGCAATAAATTTTTCGCGGTTTAAAAAATAAGTTTAAATACATGTAACTATTTTACAACAATTTTAAAATTGTTAAACAATCAGTTTTTTGCAGTTTAAAAAACAAGTTTGAATACAAGCTGTAACTATTTTACAACAGTTTTAAATTGTTTTATTCTTAGTTTTTTATAAACAATTTTAAAACAATGTTTTTAAATTGTTTACAATACAGTACCGGTGATATAAACAATTGTTTGTGTAGCTCTTAAAAAACAACAAGTTTCAACAATTTTGAAATCAATTTTCTCAACAATATTTAAATTGTTTACAAAACTTCTAAACAATTGTTTTGAGGTTATTACAATACAAGTTTCAACAATTTTGAAATAAATGTTTAATTTCTTTGATTATTTATGTTTAATTCTAATTAATGGGTTGTGGGCTATCCCTTTTTGGCCGTTTTAAAATTTCCTTGCATTTAATTTTTATATATACTAGATAAATAGATTTTATCAATCAAGTTTATAAATAACAGCGTATAATGTTTAATTTTTTTAATTGAAAATGAAATGAAGTAATTGGATAAGTACCTATTAAAATACGTAAAAAATTATGTTTATTGTACAGGTAAAGCATGGCAATTAAATAATTCTTCTTATAAAGAATTTTTTGATAATACAATACAATTCTTTATAATTTCGTTGTAGTTATTACATTATGAGTATTGAATTACTTGAATAGTAAATTCATAATGCATAAGATACCGATGACGTTAATTGTGATACTAGATACAGTGATGGAACACCTGCTTAAAACATATAATAGGTAATTATAATAATGCAAATATTTTTGTTGCTTTTTTTAAGTTATTTGAGCAAATTTTTAGTAGTTGAAAAATTTAAGGAGGGGGGGGAGATGAATTAATCATTTAACAATAATTATAATGACATTAGCAAGGTTAATTAATTCATCTACAGGGTGTTTTTTTAAGTGTGCCACCATTGGGATCTCAGTAACTAATGATTTTACAGCAAACTTTAAAAGGGGAAAATTCCCTTGTTTTTAAAGAGGTTCAAAAATAATTAAATGCATTTTTTGTAAATGGCGGCCATTTTCCAATATGGCGGTCAACTTTGAAATTTCTTATGGAACACCCTATATTTTATCATGTTTTCGGATAGAACATGCAATTTAAAAACTTTTTTATTCTTGACATTTTTTCGACAAACCCACTCGTTTAGGAGTTACAGCCTATGGAAAAATGACTTTCGGTGTACATTTTACATCATGTAACTCCTAAACAAGTAGGTTTATAGCGAAAATGCGAATAGTAAATAAGTCAAATTAGTCTTAAAAATTGCATCCACATTCCATAAGGACCATAAAATACACAGTTTTCCACTTTTCAAGTTTGCCACCATTTTGGAAAATGGCCGCCATTTTTTAAATAGTATAATTAATATGTTTAATGAATTTTATGATCTTTTTGGAATGTGGATGCAATTTTAAGACTTATTGGCCACACTTACTTGCCACAGCTATGGGACAAGGCACAGACATAAAATCAGTTTTTCTAATCTCAACTTAAAATTCTTTGAAAAAAAACTTCATATGCTGGGATTAAGTTTTATAACCCTCTACCAGATAATATTTTAAAAATTACGGACAAAAATTAATTTTAAAACAACTAAAAACTGTTGTTAATTTTGTCTAATGTAATTTCTTTAATATTATAAATGATAGTATTTATAAAAAGTACTAAAATTCTAAAATCCATACTGAACTCTAAAGCCAAAGCCTTCCACTAAGTTTTCACTAGTTGCGGGTTGCGGAAAACTAGTTGCTTTTTCTACAAAATACAGCGACTTTTGCTGTCGTTCACTATTGGAGAGACAAGTTTTCCACTAAATTTTGGTTTACCGCGGAGAGTTGGTAAAGATCAAAGAAAGTTTACAATAAAAAGGGGAAGACTAGTTACTACGGGCTTTGCGCAAGCAGCTTGTGGAAAACTGTTCCCCTGGCCCCTCCAAGCACCCCGAGTGTGACGTCGGGCAGTAGTCAATTCTTTGGCAATAAGTTTTCCACTAGTTGCTCTAAATTAGTGAGGAGCAACTTTTGGTTTTCCGCAAAAACTCATCCACTAGTTTGTTAAATTTGTCAGGACAGGAGCAACATTTAGTTTTAAACTTTTAGTTGTTAATTTTTGGTTGTTAACTTTTTGTTGTCAACTTTTGGTGGTCAACTTTGGTGTAAACACGGCTTAAGTCATGAGCAAAACTTACTTAGATACATTGTCAGTTTACTAAGAAGGCACTTTGTTACCAAAACAGCCATAATATAATAAGGAATAAGCAATAAGTTTATTTAACATTTGATTTGTATTGATCAAGTGATTCAGTACTAAGTAAACAATGAAATTCAAATGTTGCTTGTCGCTAGTTTTTGGCGACAATTACACCCAGCTTAAGTTGCAACCCAAACATGAGCATAAATGGGGCCTAAGGTAAATATAGTAATTTTATCTTATTACTAGCTGCTGTACCCGTGCTTTGCAGCGGGAAGATGTAATACACGGCCTAATCCAAACACTTGTTATTTGGGCTGAATTGGTTTAGTGTTTTAGTTGTGGCAGCCGCACAGCTAATAATTTCATAGTTCACACACAGCTTCATAATTTATAATAGTATAACATAATATTTGTATTAGCAAGCCTATTCTATAAATATAATAATCCAAACATTTTGTTGTCCGGATGCAAATTAACACCAAGGAAGGAATTTGGAAATTCATTATGTCTGACTGGGATTATGAAGTACTTTTATTTAAGGGTTGATCTTGGTTGTGTTACTTGCTTTTTATATAGTAGATAATCAACATGATTAGGCATAATAATGGAGTGATGTTTTAATGTTTCATCTAGAATAAAAGGTGAATAGCATTAAACATTTTTGTTTATAAAATATTTTTAGATAAGGGTAGGGACCTTAATAAAACACAACAATGAATCATAATAGGTAGTCTGTAAATTAGAGAAAGTTTTATTGTTTAGACCTTAAACATGACTTCTTACAACACAATTGAAATTAAGAAATTATTATAAGCGAAGTTAATAGCTGAGCAACCCTTCTGCATTCGTCTGTCTTGATATCCTGAAACAAATAAACAATAACTCAAAATTGTAATCAGAACTAAATAGAGAAATGGGTGCCTTGTTAGCTTGGTGGTTATATTGTCCTCGACTTTGCTGCAAGAGAAATTTCAGAAATCAAACTGTGTCCTCCCCCATTGCAAATGCTAAGTTGGAGTATAACTGCAATAAGCATTTTAAACTTATATGCCGACCCCGTACGAAGGACGGGTACTTTGCTAGATACTAATAAAAATGTTATTATATATAATGTTTTGTAAATCATTACATAAATATAAATGATAGTAGCCTTTCTCAATCGCATGATCTGACAAGCCAGGTGTCTCATCGAACTAGCACGATTGTTCGTTTTTCTCAAAGCTCGTACGTATGACCAATCGATGTATCTAATGATCAATGGGTGTTGGGGGGAAATATCTAATTTAATTCTGTGCATGTATTAAAATTTATTTACCACAAAAAGATGTGAGACTACTTTTGTTACCAGTTGTGTAATGTGTAGCAATAAACTAATCACAGCTATAAACAAATAACTTAGTGTTTCCATTCCACACATTTAGCCTGTTGCAAGCTGGTGTAGTTGTTTAGCGTAAGTCTTTGGCTCCGATGATTGTGGATTCACATCCTGGCAATCACCATGGCAATTTGACAGATGGCCACACCGTGCGTTGCTCCTCATGATCGTTGGTACGGCCATCTTTAAATGCCCTTACCCATACTTGCGTACCATTCCATCACTCATAATTTTCTCGCCATACACTTCATTAATCTGTCGATGAAAATCAATGGCTTTCACACCCTTAGCACTTAAAAATCTAATTACAGCGCAAACTTCACAGATGGGGCAGTCTCATTTGGCAGCACCATTTTGAATGCTCAAATTTGGTTGTAAACACAGCCGATTTTTACCTAAATTTGAGCGCAGGCTTGCCAATAGATGCACATACATGGCACAAATGTCCAAAATGCCAATCGCAGCACTGGAATGGAGAAATTAAAAAACAGTACTTACTTAAATAATATGCCTCATATTATTCTGTCATCATAGGTAACTCTGAAACTTGAACATTTGCTGTAAGTTGATTAAAGCGTGTGTGTATTTTTATATAAAAACTTAACCGCTGCAGCACATCATTTAAGTAGATGTTAAACAAGAACTGAAAATGCTTCTTAGTCATATTGATATAACATAGCTTAGCCAAACTTACTTATTTTTATTGCTTTCGATATTTGTCCAAGAAGATTCCTCTCTTTTTTATTTGACCCCAAATAAGCAGACAACTTCATCAATCTTGTTAACGTGTGAAGTACTCTCATACATTAACACCAAACATTTGCAATGCTACAAGCCTTACAAGAAAATTTACCTGGAACAAAAATAGGCAGTGTATATAATTTACTTCTTGTTAAAAGTAAAAACAGAATAGGTATAGAAACAATGACACAAGGTGGGGCCTATTTTCTTTCTACATATACTTGGAATGGTAAATAAAAACGTATAATAATAGCAGAGTGGTTATATAATTCATTATTTTAAACTCGAAGGCCACTGGTTCTCTCAGACCCAAGTGAACCAAACGTGAAACAAACGTAATACAAGGATATGTGCCTTTGCCAACCATAACCAAAGTCTGCTAAGCCAATCAAAATCCATCTGTTATTCTTCACTAGCCTACTAGCTAAAGTGTATTTTTTTCCAAATATAAAAACTTAACCGCCACAGCACATCATAAGTTAACACGATGACTGCTGGAAACAACGTACAGGCGCTCCCCAGTGGCGGGCGAAGCCCCGGCACGCAACCAAATCAGCGAACGCAATTGGCATTCAAATATTTCAGTCTGACGAATCACAAACGAGCAGTGGTGACTGTGCTGCGTTACCCCGAGAGTGGATGTAGTTCACTGAAACACCCAAAGGTAGCAGCACTGCACGGATCCGTATCCAGCGTCTTTGTAATGTGGGTTGAAGAGAAAAAATCCCCAAAACCGGGACAAAAGCATTGCCAGACAGGATTTTACGGGAAATTTTAGTACCAACCTACACCAAAGTAAAGCTCGCATTCTAAGCTGGCAGGCTGGCAACGATTATAACGTCTCCGTCTGAGGCTAAGCTCACACTGACTCAATATATTTCTGTTGGTCTGGCGCCGACTTTTGTCGGCGCGCGCCACATTGAAGTGCTAGCGAGTCGGCGTCAGCAATCAACGTGTTAATGTTAAACAAGGACTGAAAATGCTTTTTAATCATATTGATAACTTAGCCAAACTTACTTATCTTTATTGCTTTCGATTCTTTTTTAAGAAAATTTCTCTCCTTCTTATTTGGCCCCAAATAAGCAGACAACTTAATCAATATTGTTTACATGTGAAGTACTCTCATACATTAACACCAAACATTTGCAATGCTCCAAGCTTTACAAGAAAATTTACCTGGAACAAAAATAGGCAGTGTACATCAATCAGGCCTACTTCTTGTTAAATGTAAAAACAGAATATAGAACTATAGCTCAAGGTAGGGCATATTTTCTTTGTACAAATATTTGGATTGGTAGATAAAAACTTAAAAACTCGAAGGCCACTGGTTCTCTCGGACCCAAGTGTCATTACCCAGGTGGAGCTAATAAAGTGTGTTTTTTTATTAAAACATTAATAGCTTAGTATAAAATAAAGCTTTCAAGTTTGATTTATAAAAATAAATATAGCCTATATATATATATAGTTTAAAATATAAATTAAGCTTTTTGTTGGTCGCAAAACATAAACAAATAAAAAGTAGAAGAAGGTAGTTTCTAATGTTATTCTTATGGGACAAATTTAAAAATGTATTTTGAGGGTTTTATAATTACTACTGAACGGAATCGTCTAAATTTTATGGTGTCTTTCCAATGGTGTCATAATTAAGATTCGTGCAATTTTTTAACACTATAGGTGCAATGGTTAGCTTGAGTTTTTTATGCGAATACTTACACACACACACAGTTAAGCGGACAACTAATCCACGACTCCACTATACACAACACGATACATAGATGACATATTATTTTTTTTTAATTTCTTTAGAAAGGTCTAGAGAATAATTGATAAATTTTGTGTTTTAAGGGTAAAAAATGAGAAAACCCCATTTTTTCTCTGCATAGAACTCATTAAAACCCGGTCCCATGGCCCGATCATGCTAGTTCGCGAACTCATTCAGATTTATCCCGCCTTACACCTTCAAACCGAATTTTCATTTGATTTTAGGTTATGAAAGAAACATAATACAAGGATATTTGCCTTTGCCAATTACAATCAATTGTAAGTAAGTTATGGTGGGCTAATATGAAAACAGTTGACCCATAGGCCTACTTGCCTAATTTGTAATTTTATTCATGTACTCAGGTATGTGTCACAATTTCATTTTCTTAGGTAGCCTACATGTTTTTTGCCATAAGTTAACTGCATGGTTTGCTGCCTTGTTTACTGTGTGAAATTAACCTAACTTAAGTTTTGTGACGTTGCCTATTGTAAGTTATTTTATAGACTACTAAATTTCCATTCATACTTGGCTTAAAATACCTAATATGTATCGTCGCCATTTCATTGAATAGTATTAAAAAAATTGATGGTAGAATAAGTTAAAGGGTACAGTTTCTTAACTGGGCTACGCTAATTTTATTGAAACTATCGATTCGATTAGTAAACCTACATGCGATTTTTTCACCATCAGCAAGTTTGGTTGGTTAAGTTAGGTTATGATAATTTAATTTTATAATAAACTTAGATATTAGAATTCATTCCTACTACTGGAACGTCAGTTATTAATAATAATATACTGTTACCTTCTAACGTTCCAAAATGGTGTGGTCATACGACGCGTTTCGTCAACACAGTGACATCATCAGCCGTTGAATACATTCACTGATATTTTTATTAAGCGACGACAATACCGATCGGTCCTTAAATGTAAAAATTATGTGTTCGTGTTCGTGATATGTGTTTTGTGTTAATTATCAAGACGAAGCGATAGCGGATCACCTGATGACGTCACTGTGTTGACGAAACGCGTCGTATGACCACACCATTTTGGAACGTTAGAAGGTAACAGTATATTATTATTAAACTTAGATAGGTATATTTTAAAATATCTATTATTAATCAATATTTTTAATTCAATACTGTAGTTCAATAATATATATTAACTTAAGGTAGCGTAGCCCAGTTAAGAAACTGTAGGCCTACCCAAGTTAAATCTCTTGGCTCAGTATTATCACGCTTACCATTTCTAAGGTTACACAAATGATACAAACTTGATAGCCTACTTATATCGAATATAGGCCTACTCGAATACTTAATACTCATTCAAATGAGTGTAGGACGTAAACTTAAGGGCTGCACTTTACGTCCTACACTCATTCGAATGAAAATATCGATCGATATATCGATTATTAGATAAGTTATATCATTTGGTTAGTTAGGTAAGGTTAACCTAACCTAACTAACCAAACGATATATCGAATGAAACAATCTAATAATCGATATTTTCATTCGAATGAGTGTAGGACGTAAAATAAAGTGCAGCCGTTGAATACATTCACTGATATTTTTATTAAGTTAATTGTTTAGGCCTGTCACAGGAAATCTGTAACTTGAGTCACAGCTACCTTAAGCTTAAGTAGGCTAGGCAACTGTACCTACTAACTTAACCTAATAACACTCAAGCAAATAATAGCCTACTGCATTTTGTTACTTTGAATAACAAGGCCTAGGATAGGAACAGGATTGGATTAAAACACAACTTACTGGATTTCAACACCTCAATAGTTTTGGAATTTTTTGATGTTTACAATTTATTAATAATTATTGTTCCTCTTCTTTATCTTCTGTCAACACCAGCCGGACTATTGACAAGATTCATTAATTTTCAATGCCGTTATCCTTCACTTCATTTTCATATCTTTTAACTTCTCACTATAAATATTTCTTGCATTTTCATTGTCATATAGCATGTAATTGTTGCCATTTCTCGTATAAAAATCGTTTAAAACATTTAAATAAATAAATGTTTAGGTTATAAATTACGATATCGCAGTTGTCAGTACGGTCAATTACAATAATTATCGTATCCTACCATAAAATATCGTATATATGGTAGACCTGACTGAAACGAGCAGCTGATGCCATTCCCACAATGCAACATTCTCTTCAATTATAAGCTATGCCCCAAAATCAGGATTATAAGGTATGACTCAAAATCAGGATTATAAGCTATAGAACAGAATCGGAATTATAAGCTGCGCCACTATTTGACCATTATAAGTTGTGAAACTGAAAATGTGTCATACCTTATAACGTTTTAGAGAAATTGTGGCATAGCTTATAATTTTTCGTGAAAGTGTGGCATAGCTTATAACTGATTATAAGCTATGCCACATTTTCAACATTATAAGCTATGGAACAAATTCACGATTATAAGCTATGACATTATAAGCTATGACACCCCACGTCGTGCCTCAAACAATCAACCGTGGCATAAGCTCAGCTGATTTTTATTCGAAATCGATAGCGAACTTGATTTGATTTTCACGACCTTCTCACCGCAGTATTTCACCTTCCTTTTTTTGAACTTTTGGAACAGTTACACGGAACTGTTTGGAATAGATTTGTTAAAACCGTTACATTACAAACAAAGAGTTCCATTCCATTTCCTTTTTAGGCGTTCATTTTGTTTTTCGCGGATCTCTGTCTTTAACCTCCATTTTGTCAAGTGATTGGAAACTTTATCTCAAATCGATGGTGTTATTTCAAGTTAAAGAGTTACTGGATCAGTATGTCTGATATTAATACAAAAAAAGTTTGAATGTTCATTTTGTGACAAACACTTTTGCTAGTAAATTTAATTTAACGCGCCATACACGTAATGTGCATGATAGTTGTTGTAGTGAACAATCTGACTGTTCAAACAACCCGAAAAGGCTTATTTGCCCAAAGGCCCAGAGGGTGATTGCTCTCATCAATTTTCGTGGTTTGAAAACTTGATCCAGCATCTGGAAGAAGCCCATGCCATTGAAATAATAGTTGGGGAGCTGAATTTTGAAACAGAAGAAGGTAAGTTAAATTTATTATAATTATGAACTTCACAATACTGTATCCAAAATATAACTATAAATATAATAATAAAACTTTTGATTTTAATTTGTATGTGCTTTTTCATTGTGACTCCTGCTCCATCAACAATACCTTATACCTTATAACCTTTCTCATTGTTAGCAAATTTAACAAAACTGTGCAATTTCTTTGAATAGTTTTCCTTAATATGCTATTATATCATTGTCTTTTAAGAATAAGCCGGTTTTCGTGATGTAATGTAAGAATAATTAAATAAACGAAACCAGTTAACTAACTTACAGGTCATGTCCATGTCTATAAAAGACTTGTTATTATTATGAGGAGGAGGAAAAAAGGTATATCATAATAATTAAATTTTTATGCAGGAAAAATAATAAAGTTGAGAAGGAACGGAGCTATTTGTAATATAACGGTTTCGCCTAACCTATTCTATACTTTTTGTCACAGTTGTATTGAACATTATCCCAAACAGTTCCGTGTAACTGTTCCAAAGGTTCTAAAAAAAAGGGAGGTGAAATACTGCGGTGAGAAGGTCGTTGATTTTCAACCTTTTTTCTTGTGATTGTTTATAACCTTTTTAATCTATACTCCTCAAGTCTTCTCTTCAGCGTTTTCTGTACTTTCAGGTTTATTGATTATTCTGTTCTACTATAAACAATTAATTTAATTGCAAAATACACACACACACACAAATTATAATGATCAGTGCTTCGTTTATAGCCTCTCACTTGTGTTTAAGAACTTTACCTGGAAATGTATTTGTCAAGCAATCTTATGCTACTGGTAAGTAAATTTTACAAATAAAGTTGATAATATATGCATATATATGAGCACAATATGTCTTATGCTGCTGAATAAACAATGTTAGGAATGAAGTGGTAAACTGTTGGATCATTCTGTATTACTGTGATCACGCTCTGAGGCAACTCTAAATAATCTAAAAAGTCCTGTCATAGCATAGCCCTTAAGTATATATCATACACGTTTTACAAGGGATGGGTTTCCATTTTTACTCCCACCAATAGAACATCTAGGCATTAAGGCATAAATTAAATAGAATAAAATACTTAAGGCTCTCTTAATTAACCCTTTAATTAAGTTAGGCCTAACCAAGACATGTTTTGATATATTTTTTGTTATTTTCTTATTATTGATTAAGAACATAGAGGGCTGCACTTTAGTTTACGTTTCCCAAGTCACTCATTAGTCACCACTGTTGTAATTTGTTTTATACTTAAGTATTATTTTGTAGGTTAAATGATTGACTTTTGGAATATTTACATTGAATGTGTTTATTGTACGTTTTGACTTTTCCAGGTGCAATAGCCTCTCTGGGGAAAAGCAAAGGAAAGTTAAAGGGTAAAATTGGAGCTGCCGCTGAAAAAGTCAAACTTCCAGTTGAAACTGATGCAAAAAGATTAGTTAAGTATTTGTGCGGTAGTAACATTCAGGCAGAAGGTGGTCAAGAAATAGAACTTAAACCGGACAACGAATATCCTGAGTGGCTTTGGAAACTACACATTGGTAGGTTAACGTGTTGATTGTACGCTTTTGTGATTTGGTGCAGGTTCCTACTTAGCATTCAAACTCTCTTAGGACCTACCTGTTATGGTCCTAGTACACTCTCGCCGAGACAAGGCGAGTAGGTGCGAGTGGAAGAGTACGCTCAACTCAATGCGCCATGAAGCTCACCTGCGCTCCGTCTGGAGCCGGTTATTTTGCACGAGTCAATGGAAACGAGACTGCACGAGCCAAACCCTCTAACAACTTATTTGGGAAATTTTTTTAAAAAGAAAAAAATTCTTTTGAGACTCCAAGTCCTAAGTGGTGCCTCGGCAAGGAAAATACTCTGTCCTTCAAACTGCCTATCCTTGCCAATATGAATTCAGTTATCAACATGACTTACTTAGTTAACATACGTAATTTTATATGTTAAATTATGGCGTAATTTTATATGTTAAATTATGGTTTGTTCAGTCCCCCTGAATTCACCCATTAACCAATCAATATAATACCTATAAGAAGCGCAATACCTTTGTTAAAAATTCAGTCTAGGAATATTTAAATTTTTGATAGTTCCCGCGGCGGCTGCTAGGTAGACTATAGCGAGCGCGCAGCCAATTCAGGTGACTGAGTAAGATGAGTGAGACAAAGAATCGGGTTAGAGAGAGATATTGTAGCACAGCCGCCGCACGACCGATCCTAGCGACGACTGCGCCAAGCTCATTTCAGCAGTAAAATTCCAGTCTGTCTATTCTACATAAGCATTTCGCTTCTTAAAGGGTTTGTGTTCATTGTTTAACTCTGAGATTCACACTTGTGTTAGAACTTTCTTGTAATTGTATGTTACCAACGTTTAACAACTTTTGTTGAATACAATCGTTATTTGACGTTTGAAAAACTTGGAACACGGTAGACTTGATTTATTCCTGCCAGTAATGAGTCAAAAATCCACCTTGCCACAAGTGTATTACTTTTACTACATTCGATTGTGGTTTTGCAGGTAAGAATAAAAGTCTAGAGGAACTGGATCCTAACACGCTCGACTACTGGCAGAAGGTAAGAAGCCTGGCTATTAGAAGGAATCATCGACTTAGTAAGCAAAGGAAGTTTTAAGATCACATGGTAGTTTAGTAAAGTGTTCAATGTGTATATTAAATAAAATATATGAGGATTAAATACCTACTCTTCTCTAACCTTTTTTATCCTTGTTTATTGTTATTGTTAAAATATGTAGGAAAGGACTTTATAAAGATGGGGTAAATTTTGAATATTTTACCTCTAACTCTAGACAACAAGCCATGAGGTCCAACTCAAATATATTGACCGTCATAATTTATGTATTACTAAATATAAAAATTAGGCCTATAAGTCACAAAGCTTTAGCATGTGCCTGAAAAAAGCCTAAAGCTAGGCGGGTTGGGCCATCCAAAATCAGTTAATTGTGCAGTTTATTTGTGCAATTGAGTAAAAAAACTGTTCATTTGTTATCTAAGGTCTTCGCCATAAGCCATTGAAAAGGTAGACTAACTTACTAGCTAGAAATACTGTACTTCACTTTGAAATGGCAGCCATACGAAAGTAGCCATCTAAAATTTAAGCCAAGTATGAATGGAGATGAGTGGGCGATCTTGTATTCTTGTTAGTTACTAAGGCAGACATATTCCTCACGGCTGTTAATTAATAGCCCATACAGCTCTTGGCAACTACATGGTTTCTAATACCTATGTAATGACTCACTTTCTAACTTACTCTAGTTATGAAATATACTATTTCGCCACACTACACTGGTTTAATAGACTTTCCAATCTCCATGTATGAAAGAAATTAGTCTGGAAAACAGCTGTTTTCCGCCTGCTTAGTCAAATGTGGTTTTATTACGTAGGTACTACTGTACTGTAATGAATCTTTACCGGACACCAGCTGATTATAATTGATAATAAGTGAACAAATCAATAAACAAAAAAAAGAATCTTTACCGGACACCTGCTGATTATAATTGATAATAAGTCAACGAATCAATAAACAAAAACAAGTGACCTCTCTTTGAAGTTATGAGTAGTGATTGACTGATTGTTAAGTTCTCTAGTCGGTGGAAATATATAACGGATTAGTAATTGTTAGGTTAGTTTAGAGTAGTATGGAGAACAATATCGTACATCACTCGTCCAGAATGTGTTTAGGCCTACCAACCTCATATAAGACATACAAATTAAATTACGATATGGTAATTCCGTGCAGGACGAACCATACTCGTTAGGTAAACATCTATCATTTTTCCGTACTAGTAATATACTATTCCCAACAGGATGAAAAAAAAACATTTGCTTTGACAAAAGGTATATTTTGAAGAACAAAGACAACACTTTTGGTCCACAAATCTGTATTGCTTACAACAATATTCCTGTAAAGAGGGACAACAGAAAACCGAAGTTTAAGCAACACAAATGTCTACATGCAACAAAAGTAAGTTGGCGATGACTACAACTTAAATAATGGTACTTATCATTCTAAACAGGATATATTGTTTATCATTTTGTTATAGCAAACATACAAAAACTTAAATATATTTCTTGTTACTGCTCAATTCAAACATTTTTAAATGTAATTATTAAGGCTTACCTTTAAATAAGTCCATAGAGACACATAACACATCACAAAATTAAAAGTAGAAATTTTCGTGGTCACTGACCACTTTTTCAACCACTGGAGATTGGAGAAAATCTTAACAATCTTAGACATTAGCCTTAATAATTCCTGGCAAATGCCCTATCCTTTTATAAGATATTTTTAAATGTAAGCAATTAACATTTTATAGGTTGCCTCAACATGTTGAGTCTTTCTATGTTTCTAATTATTAAAAACTTCGATAGGCCACAACTCTCTGTCAAAACACCAAGTATAAATATTTAGTTGTAAAATAATAGTGTAGAAAATTACAACTAGTCTGAACTGCCGAATGATACCATGATACTATCATCAGACCGTATTGGTAAAAAATGGTTTACAAAATATTGCAGATGCATAAATGAAATATACAATGGTACATTTAAATTAGCCAACAAAATAGCCTACATAAAGAAAAACAATTAATTATCGATTATAAAGTTGATTCAAACTGATAAGGTGTATTTAATTTTTTCAAACCAGCATGCTAATGGATTTATTAAAATTAATCAATACAACAAACAATTAATTTTCAAATCTTAGTTTTGAAAGTTTTTACAACACTGCTTAAAATACCTTCAATTCCTTTCTTTACTATGTCTCCCTTCTCAAAACAATTACCTATTTATGTATGAGAGCATATCAAATTAAAAAATAATGTATAACATCAATAAACATAAAGATGAAGACGATACTGACTAAACATGACTTGTTATTGGACACAAAACCTTCGATAAATAAGAAACTAGTCAAACCTATTCTGACGCTTCCAAACCAAACCCTGTATAAACGCAAGTGTAAACTTTCCCATTTCACCATTTGATCTACAACAACCCGTGACTAGCTAATCGATTCTACAATCAATAAATGTTTGACGACTTACAATTTACTAGGTGAGGTAGCAATATTTACAAGATGGTTCTAGACAAATAACTAGGCTAAATGCTGTATCGGTCAAAAGATAGGACATCAATCTTTCAATGAGCTTTACTTTTCTTCTGAGACGTAAACCTGAGCATAATGGAGTAGAGCGTCGGGAACCCCTGAAAAAGTCAGATTTCTGTTACAGGACTTGAATTATTGACTGCACACACAGAAAGTAGACTTGTCACTGCAATGTATTTGTAGATAATTTAGGTACTTTGGTATTATCCGGAGGCCACTTATTTTAGAGGGATTTATTTTACCGGAGACCAAAAATAACTACATAATTGAAAAGAACATACTTTAATTTACTTACTGTCTAAATTTGACATGATTACGATTAGCGGCCTTTGAGTTCTGCCTTTCAGAAGGCAGTGATGTCTGAAGGATTGAGTTGAATGCGTCGCGGCTGCTAGCTGCGATGTGTACTCCGCCAAGTAGGTATACAGTGCGCTGCGGCGGTTATGTTAGGTTGGGCATAAATATGTTTGTTAGACTTTCCTCATTTCATTATGAATCCAACGATACCACATGAGTCATCACTCTGGACACTGATCCAGATACAGGCGCGATGACAGGTGATGCGCAGGCTACGATCAACGACCAGACATTGGCTTACTTGGAGGGGATTTGGCGGACGAAAGTATGACTCTGGTATGGTTCGATTCATAACAAAACAAAGAAAGTCCTACAAACATATTTATAACCCAACCTAACATAACCACCGCAGCGCGCTGTATAAGGGTGGCCTCCGGATAATACCAAAGTACCATAATTTTGATCTCATTGCAGTGTCTCATGCCGGTTAAATTTCTCTTAAAAATTGACATCATTAAAAATATTTTTGTTATTTAAGCAAAACATGACAAGCAATATTTTACAGCAAGTAATTTGCATTTAAAATATATAAAAAACATTTCAGGTGGATTTTTGTTTTGTGTTTAAAGAGGTGCAATGTAGCTGAATCATCTGAAAAAAATATTATCCAAGGCATATTCTTTTCTTATAAACTTACTCTGAAATGTCCTATACTAAAACGAAATACCAGTGGTTTGCGATCATTCGTGTACCTTATCAAAAGTTAGAGGTCATTTGGTTGAACTTACTTGTATGAAAAAGTAGACGACAGTCAGATACATAACAATGGCAAAAGTCAGGAACAGATCAAATACTGCTGGTTTTACGCTGTAACAAAGGATAAAAACGTTAGATCACCAAATCAACATAATTTAAGAAAAAATCTCATTCTTATTGAAAACAAACACATTCAACTATATTGTTTTTATGTCTTTAAATGAAACTATTTTTAAAACTAATTAATTTAAGATTGAAAAAACCTGTCAGAAGATCATAAAAAATTATACTTTTACTGTTAATTCTTCTGCGAGTTTTCAAATTACAGTTCATTTAAAATAAAACTTTCCTGAAAATTAAAAACACACTAATTAATTTTCAATAATCACAACTAATTAATTATTAAGTTTCAACTGATTTTTCAACTTCTTAGCAGTAAAAATAGGAACTTTGGTATTATACTAACCACACCTAATAATTATAACATAACCTAACCTAAGGGTGGTTAGATTAGGTTAGGTAGGAAGATTTTGTTATTTGATCTAATTAAATTCTTATTTGGAAGTTGATTTAACGGTGTGATCAGTATAATAGCAAAGTACCAAAAAAATAACTTTAATACACTCACTTGAATAATATATTTAGTAATAAATATAATATTTAGTAATTTAGTATATAAATTGACAAACCGAAAATATAACAATACCTACAAGAATAAGAAACTTTCAAATATAGCCTGAGAAGGTTTTCTTACCTGTAGACATTAACAACAGCTTTTGTTACATCGTAAAATACAAATTCGGGATCTCTTTTGTCAGCCGTTTGGTAAGAGATTTTGACATCTTTGATGTAACTGAAACCAAAAGTCAGGTATTAAAAATGTAAGTTATAACCGATTGTTTAGTACTAAGGTGAGAATAAACTATTATAAAATACTGTTCGTAGTTGCATGCATGATGAACCAGTCAATGAACAATTACTTATAATGAGACCTAACATTTTATGATGACCTAAAAATGCCTAAACATATGAGCCCTTTTGTCAAGTTAGCTGATACAGTAGACTCCCTCTTATCAGTTTTTTTGGTTAAACCGACGTCCCCAAAAACTTGTTATGTAACCCAAATATTTGACTTAAATTTAGGAGAGCATTGTATTTAGACAAGTGATCACTGGTCTCAAATCTTTCCCAAGAGAACAGTCGTTTCAGTACCGCCCACTTCCTGCCGATCTAGTCCGGTTACACCAATGTGCTGATAAAAATTGTCCGGTTGAAGAGATATCATTTCCGACGAGTGTAGTCCGGTTAAAAGGTGTCCGGATAAGAGGGAGTCTACTCTAGGTTATAGTGCTTGCCTTCAAATCTGTAGGCTGCTGGTTCAATCCAAAGAAAAGTTAATTCTAGACCTGTACACATTTTTTTATTAGGCTACCAATAACTATGCTATTCAAGAAAAGGCAAGCAGGAGGATGAGATGGGCTTGACATGAAGAAAAGAGGACGACTCTCTAAACAATATTGTCGAATAATTTTGTGAATAGATCAGCAGGAAGTCAGACCAAATGGTGAGATGGCATGACCAATTTGGAAAAAACCCTCAAGAAGGGAAGACCTGAAGGGGGGGGGGTGGCTGCAAATTGGGAAATATGAGAACTCTCGTCATTTTTGTGAAAAAATACAGGTTGCATATAAATAAAAAGGTTGAAAAAAAAAGAGTGGTGTAACAATAGGTGTGACTGTGGTATTTGACCTCTTCTATTACAGTGCAAACACTGTTCCCACACCACTACGCCAATGCGAAGTACCACCTTATGTACCAAGAGCTGCATACTTTACTTATGGTAAATTAGCTAAAAACACAAAAATACGGTAGAACCCCGGTTAACCGAAACGGTTCCATAAATTAATACAGGGCTAAAATATAAGTACAATAAAGTAACATGTAAACACTAAACAGAGAGCCCCTTTCTTCTCGAAAGGGGCTTTTTCTATAACCCATTGTAACATTTTTGTGGCTGAAATAAAACACTGTATTATTTAAATATTGTTTTAAATTCATTTTTCCTACACACTCTGGTAATACATAGGCTATTTTTAGCATTTGATGGATTAACCGAAAAATTGGTTATCCAAACGGCTCTCCCCCTTTATTTCGGTTAACCAGGGTTCTACTGTACTATTGGATTATGGTTTAAAGCAATTTACAAGATTTGCCTTACCCGCCGAGTGTCTGAGAGAGAGCAGTGACTAGAGGATTGTTCTTGTCTGCCAGCAGCAGGGCAGCTCTGGGCTGGGATGTGAGGAAGTCCAAAAACATCTTGAGAGAATCAGCCTCCACACCCTGCAAAACACAAACATTAAACAAGACGAAGGATCTGAGGTACAAATGTAATGTGGAATGGAAATTCTACTCACACGTCACAGACCATTTTAGTGTGTATTGAATGGACCAGTATTTGATTGGCAGAGGCATAAGTAAGGATCATGTGGTTTTAAGTTTGCAATAAACGGTACAAGACTATATAAACACTACACAGCGAGTGAGAAAGCAGGTTTGTGGGAGAGTACGTCATACAAATCCCGCTATTGACTAATTCCCTGACATCTTCAATACTAATCCACTAGTAGCTTGTGCAACTTTAAGTAGATTTGGATAGTTTTACAATCTAGTTTCCCCAAAAGCAAATAAATGGCGTGCAAAATTGTTGGTAGAGTAAACTTTTTTCAGATTTATTTCAATAGAAGCTACCAAGCAAGTGCGGAGTCCTAGTATCTGCCTCTACTGTATTCTAAGTCAACTGAGGCAGGTAACCTGCCAATGCTCGCCAACTGGCCTTGTATAAACATGACTTTACGTCTTGCTCTTAGTCAGTAGTAAAGCTACAACACAAAGATTAATAAATATTTTATCCGCTATCTTGTTTCTCACAGGAGTTCTAAGATTCTATGAAGATAAACAATGGCAACAGATTCAAATGTGTTTTCTCACCATGTGTTTGGAGAAGGGAAAAGTCCCGCCTGTCAAGTTGTAAATGTGTCTAGCCAAAGCTTGCGCGACAATCTCCGTGTTGCGCACGAGGTTTGCAACATCCACGCTCTGTCTTGTGTCCAAGATGGTCCCTCGACCGGGATGTTTGTGTGTCTGAAACAATAAAAAAGATAAAACAGATTTTTTTAAATTTCTATTTGTTTAGTTTCAAAAATTAAGTTTTACAAATAAGTTTCCAACAAGCTGCAAATGCTTGTATAGCAAAAGCTTAATCAAGATTGTTAGGGTCTTTAAGGAACCACAATTACCGGTTAGGCCTACAGCAATCATGACATGGAACAGTACAATAAAGACTAAAAATTATTTTGTCACTATTGCCACTTGCAAACTTTTACTCATCAAGATTAAAAACCTAAAATTTCCTTTGTTGAACAGAGAGAAAAATCCATTCCTGTTTCCGTCCCAAAACTTAACAAGGAATTAGAAAACACTTCTCTAACTAAAGTACAATCCCGACCATTTCTATTTCCAAGTGTCTTTACTATCCCACCTTCACTTCCTAGGACGCTAGGTTCTAGCCCTGAACTGTTGATACACATTACTTCAGACTCCCTTAGGATCGCCGCATTATCGCATACATAAAATTCATCAATGAATGGCGGGATTTAAGCCTGGGCTCTGAAGCCTCACGTCTTACCACTAGACCAGTTCGTTCCCCACTTATGAGTGTTGTAATTAATTTTTATTTTCAATCTGAGACAAAAATCATGTAACAATATTACTTTGATTTAACTACGTCAAATCTATATTAAGTTCGGATGACAAAGGTTAATTTTACCTTGAGAGATGAGAGTGTGAAGGCTGGCAGTTTCCGGATGCTGTACCTCTCGTGTTCCCAGGCAAGCATTTCTTCTGCGAGGTTGATTTTCTTGTGTACCACCTCCACCGGGACGTTACTCTTCACACCTTTCAGTTCCTACAGATCAAAATAACACTGGAAAATATACCGGTGTATGTTGTGCCATTATGTCTACAAGATGGGTGGATTTTTTGTAATTTGCTACCGTACTCAAAACAGGCATTTTGCTTTATTTTACCTACCCTTATTGTGTGTGACCACTGAAAACTTGTTTAGAATAAGTTGCATTTTTATTTCCACAAGATGTCAAAATAAAATGAAATATAATTTTTGTTTAGGGGAACTTTTTTCTTACAGTTAACCTTGTAATTCTATGTATAAACTAAACGATGAATTTTTATAACATTTTTAAGAGTTATGATCAAAATAATAACTATAGCTAAAGTGGTAAATCACAGTCTGTAACACATTCACTCTCCGCCACACCTAAGTTTAAAGTATACCATCCACTATCCAGCCAAACCATCTGATAGAGGTAAAATGTTTTCAGCAATGAAATCAGTCTGGAATGAAATGCTATGCACCTTATGGTGAAGGGTAGGACATTCTATGGGTGACATGCTGTTACTATGAATCGACACTTGCAAGACAAAGGGTAACTCAGTAATTACTTAAGTCAATGTACCACAAAATGATCTATTAAAACAGTTGTCTTGTGGCAAGGAATTTATATTTATTTAGTTGTGACGCATAGTGGCACGCTAATTTCTTATAGTGTCAGCGCTTCGCGTGGCAGGGCTACATGAAAAACTCATCAGCCCACTGCGAGCAAGCGAACGCCTTCCCCCACCTACTTTTCCAATTCTCTTCCCACTTCATCGCCGATCATCAAGGAAATCGCTCTGAAATCTGATCATCTAAAAACCTTCATGAAATGGCTAAGTCCCTAGAATAATTATATAGTTAGATACTAAATAGTAATCAATGTCAGGCTAGCTGGCAAACTAAAGGGGGAGACCTACTACGGTCGCCCAGACCTTGATAATGTAGGAATTAATTAATTGCCAGTAAGGCCTATTCCTCGACCATTTTCATTTTCAACATGAAAAAGGTAACACGTTTCCCCAGTAAGTTTCCACTCAGTTCATCTCATTAAATTCATAATTATTTCTGATTTAAGTAGTTCAATCACCACCAAATCATTTCACTCATTGTCAGTTTCTAGGTCACAAGTTTTGGAAGGATAGTTTAAGTATATTATTTGTATTAGTATATAAATCAAAGCTGGCTATGCAAGCTTCCGGTCTGGGTAAAAGATCTCCGTCCTCTGGTCCCCAGCACGTCTTTCATATAAATCATTTGGTAGCAGAATCAGCACGCTTAAATTAGTCTCACAGTACCATATCACATCATCCACCGTCATTACATAACGCCTACATACACGAACTAGCCAACATCATCTTGCTAACGCTACATAGTTGATGAGCCAGAACGGGTATTTCTTGTTAAAAAACTTAATATTATTCAAGAAATAATTTGGAATTTTGTGATAGATGGCAGAATGAGTTAGCTGATGAGGAAACGCAGTGATTGAAAAATACTTAAATCAATGAGAGAATTCATGGGGCTAAAAGGGTTAGACAAGACAAAATGGAGTCAAAAGATGTTTACCTTGTAGAAATTTGCTCCCGGAGAGTTTTCCCTCGGAGGTTTGGATACATGGAAGTAAAGAGAGTTTCCTCCTCCAACTGTGTCCAGACAGAGGATGAAGTTGGCTTCCTGCACACAAGGTAAATATACTTTGTAGGAATTGCATAGATAGCTCCATCTTAACATTAGGAGTATCAGTATATACCTGCATCAAATTAGCTAAAACTAACAAAGCTAACACTAGAAATAGAACTTGTCAATAATTTGTATGTTACAACACCAAAAACTAAATCAACAGTTTTAATCAACAAGGTTGTGAATATTTTTCATGAAAAAGTCTTATAAATTGGCGTATCTGCATTTATGTGATCTTTGATGTTGCGTTATGTCAACCAGTTTCGACTCGACATTGTAGTCATCTTCAGGCCAGAACAGATGTCATCTTATCTTGTCTAGCTTCATTTGAAGGTCGTCATTATTACAAATATACTTATTTACTGCTTTGGCCACTTGTGCCCTAGATGGTACTTGGCCTCCCTAACACACTGCCCTCCATCTCTGTATCTTGCATCCTCCTTCCTTCTTCCCAGTTTACTTATTCCTTTTCTACTTGGTCCCGCCATCTCAGTTTCGGTCTACCAAGGGGTCTACTTCCTTCTGGGTTCTCCAGTACCGGTACTTTATTTGGTAAAGAGTTGTCTTCTTTTCCTACCATAAGTCCTGCCCATCTCATCTTTCTACTCTGTACTTCAGCGACAATATCCGGATCTTAAAATAATTCTCTCAGTACCCAATTATGCTGTAGTCTCCATCTTCAAAAGTACACTTAACAGACATAAAAAACACTAACATTTTTTATTGACAAAACGAGATGATAATACTGCAGCTAAGTGGGACACGATGTGATCGGGCAGAAGTCGAGTCAAGACTAGCCGTAACACAACACCAAAGATCACAAAAATACAGGTATGTATGGACCAATTTATAGTATTTAAGTGTGATCAGAAGGCTAAAATTAAATAAAATGTCGAGAGAGTCATGTGACTCGAGCAATAGTAAACTAAATGTAACATAGACTAAACGTTAAGGATTATTTTCATTCATCATCATACTTTGGAGACAGCGTAATCTACATCGCTTGAGATAAACGCCCTGTACAATGCAACTTATAGAGATCATTACTTACGTAGCTAGATGCGAATTTAAACTGAATATTAATGAAAAAGTGTGGAATGTAGTGGGATAAGCTGCAAGTTAGAGCTTTGTTGATTGGGTAAGTTTGTTTGTTCCTTCAGCCAGAATAATCGATTAAAAGCTCAATGATAAAAAATCTCTAATGGCATTTTAAATTTTTATTTAGGTTCACAAGTCAGTAGTCAGAACTTACAACAGTAAATATAATTGATTAATGTTGATTGTTGACCTACATTTAAATTTTCAACAGAACATATCAAGGATCAAAGTAAAACTGTTTGGTCATTTTTATTTTTATTTATACTCGCTCTACAGTTTTATTTAAACATGTGAAGCACAATAATGGATTTAACATCAAATGCAATGGAAGACCCTCCAAATCTAAATCCAGGAAACCTTCCAATGCAACGTTATTTCTCTGGCTTCACCTGCAGTGAAACACAACCCTCTGTACAGAATGTCACTAGATTGTTAGGTTATTTCTGGGAAAGTTACAGTTTTTTTTTCATACACAACATTACAAAACCATTGCATTTTGAAATACATCCGAATTAAACCTGAAAAATACCTGATTTTAATACCTGATTTAAATATTTATTGGGGAAAAAACATGTTTGTTACCGTAAAGTAAGTAGGCCCAGGCCTAGTGTATATTAGTTTTTGTCTAAACTCAATCAAATTCTCTCACTGATTAGGGTAAAGTTTAATAAGTTGGATAAGAAAAAAAACAATGTTTTTGTGATTAGATCTACTTAAGGGCCAAAAATGTGTTTTTTAAAATGCATTATTCTCATTATTTAGTCCATCTTGAACACTTACCTCTGGCACTTTAGAAGGAAACACCTATTTAAATCTGAAAAATCGGGATGAAAAATTGCAAAAAGCACTGAAAATAGCCAAATTTTTCCTAACAATGAAATTTTTATTTTGACCTTTTGTATAATTATTGTACTTTTTAGTAGGCCTACTTTTTACTTCTGACACATTTTTTTGCAAATGCGTTTTTTCCCTCAAACATTAGGTTTGAAAATCATCAAAATTGATAACTGCTGATAATGATCGATTTGGGGGTAGTCTTACACTAAACCAGATTTGTACTGTACCATACCAAATGTGTTGTTTTAAAAAAGATTTTTTGTCAAAACAATTTGGTGACTTTTAGTACTTTTTGCAATGTTGACCATGATTTTAAGGGTAAAATAAGCTTTCCCCCCAAAAGTGCCAAAAAAGTGTTCAAAATGGGCCAAATAATGACTTTTTACTTTGTGTGGAGCCCCAAAACTAAACAAATAAAAAAAAACCATTTACTGTACAACTGAAAAATCAATCAAATGCTCTGGTTCAACAGTGAAGTGCCTGGTGTAAAAGGCAGTTGTAGAAGAACATTTAGTGCCCTAAACAGTCAGTAATCAAAACCTCTACACTTACTTGAAGCAACGAAGCGTCGATCCCATCCAGCTGATCCTCCAGCCACTTCTTGCTCCCCTGGTAGTTGAGTTTGCCACCACCAGACAGCAGGAACAACAGATTCACTCGAGCGTGTGTCTGCGCGTTGGCGTACAGGTGGGAGAAAAGTCGCGCAAGCTCCAGCAACATCGCTACACCTGAGGCATTGCTGTCCGCTCCAAACGACATCTCCTAGAAGAGACAGCGAAGAATGGGAATAAAGACGGTAGTTAAGAGGATCATAAGTTACGGTCGTAAAAGCTGCGATGAGTAAACGTTTACATTACCTCTGTCAAACAATTTATCAACTTTATTCAATCACCTACACACACAGACACATTTATTGTATGAAATCTCAAAGTATTCAAGAACTTTAGTTGAATGGTTTGCCAACAACATATTTATTCGATGATTGATTAGCTACTGGATTGTCAGAATTGACAAATTAAGCTTTTATGTGTTGTGGTAATATAAGTAAGATAAGAGTTATTGTAGTGAACAAAATATATGATACTTACTGGTGCCACCCCAAAACTGTCGTAATGAGCGACAATTGCGATTGTTGGCATCTTGTCTTCAATCCCATGTCCCACAAGTTTTCCCTATAATAGAAATCAGTGGAAGGTCAAATTTAAATTCTTGTACAAGAAATCGGTCATGTTTTTTTTTTTTTTTTTTTTTTGACTATGCAGTTTTGACTATTTAATGTTTCAGTTATAAAAGGTAATTGATTAGAATGGTCAGTTAGTTTTTTTAATTTCTCTAACTGTAAGATTTATTCATGTCCCAATTACTAATTGACATAACCTATATACTTTGTTATTTGTTTACAATTCTAGAGTACAAACAGCAGCTTATAGATCGATTGTTTAGTTTGGTTGACATAACTTTAAAGTTACTACGTCATAAAATAAACGGAAACCATCAGCACGTTATCACAAATTGGCGTAATTCAAGACAAAGTGTAATTTTTGGTACTATAAAAACTATATCAATCAATATTTAACAACCAGTCAGAGCCGCTTTTAAATGGGCCCGGTAGGCATGGACCCAGGGGCGCAAGTGGGTTTACGCTTTTTGGGGGCGCAAGGAAGAGAAAAATTCCCCACAACCCTGTTATAGGGGAAGGTGGAAGGCAACCTCCATAAAAGTGGAGGGGGGCGCAATCATCTCTCAGGCCCATTGCGCCTCCAAGCAAACCACGGGCCTGCGACCAGTACAATAATAGCTGCAGTGAACTACAAGAGGGGTTTAAAAAAATAAAAGGTCAACAAGTAATAGCAAGAAGATTAAGGTTAGGTGAATGTTTCACCATAATATGAAACCCTGAAATTAGTCTAGGCACTAAATCATAGCCTACCTGAACAGAAGCAATCTGAACGTCAGATTTTGGCGAGGCTTTGTTTGTGTTGACCACAATTTGGTAACCATTTGCAGACACTGAGTTCATCAACGCTACAACATAAAATATTCATTATGTTACTTTCAATGGAGTTGTCTAAATTAAGTAAAGGAGGTTTAACATTGTTGTAAGTTTATTAGGATCTATACAAGTAATTATTTCTTTAATTTTAAGTATTTCCACCCATAAAAACCAAGAGACCTCAACTTGGTGTTGATTGAAAGTAGTTTATGGGAAGACATTTTTTATGGAAAATGTTAAAGACAAAATTTATGTTTTTTAAAGATGTAACGTGCCTATTTTGAGGGGGGTCAAACTAGCCTACTCCTATGTCTAGCCTATCCCTAGGCATAGCCTACCAGCCCTAACTAAGGTTATAGGTTAGAAGGCTAACCTTAGTTATAACATCTTCAGTAAAGTATAGGCATGATACACTGTTGTGTTTGGTATTAAATAAGTGTAGAACGAGAGTTATTAATACTGTATGAGCGTGGCATAAACCTTATACAGTGTTTTATAGCTTATTGACTCACCAGCTATGTGTTTCGCAAGCTAGGGCTCAACCCGGCTTGGTACTTTGAAGAAACTTTCTACACTTAGTAAACCCGCAGATCATAGCCTTAGGCCAATAATCCGTCTCAAAGACGTGAGGAAATGCGGAGTGAATAATATAAACCGACAACTTGAAGTTAAAACTCATTGTCGTGTGAAACAAACACAACATAACCTACAGTCAACAACAACAACAAGCTCGAGCGACTGACGATTTAGCGGCTGCAGACGACGGCGGCCGGCTAGCTTTTTTTCGGGTTAGCAAACAGCAAGCAAACGTTCCGGATCAGCTGAGCCCCCTACTTTGCTAGAGAGGGGAGCGAGAGGGATGAACCGAGGAACCCTCAGACGGCAAGCAGGAAAGTTAGTTCCTCACCAGCCACGACTACGAACACTCGAGAGCTCTTACGTACTAAAGTAGAGTACCGAGATCGTCGTAATAGTTTATTGGTGAAGCATAGTTAACTCGTGTGACGCTTCAATACAAATTGTAAGTCTTATATTTCAATAGATATAAGGTAAACCGAGTTAACTATTGCCAGGGTGTAAAATACTAGTTTTTAAAATCAGTTTTACTAGATTTTATATTTTCACTCCTGTTAAACCAATGGACTTAGGCTACGTTGACTTGATCATGATGGTGTGTTAAACCCATAACGTAACGATTTAATATTACGAGGCCTGTGTATTTTTAATCCATTTTTAGTAAGCCCAAAATAATTTAATCTCATCATACGAATTTATTAGTAGTAGTCAGTGACTACTAAGATTAGTTGTGCTAGTTGAGCACGTCCCGGCCGGCACGCATGGCGTGTTGGTAGTAGTGGCCTTAGGCCTGTTTACGATGTTTTATGGTTTTAACAACGTGTTTGCCATAACGAATTTAGAGATTAATGGAAACCAGAAGGGGATGACTCGTTTCGGCCTTAGTTACTTTATTGATAGTGGAGTTTGTTTGCTTCGTTGGAATGGCCTCCAACTTTAGCTATTTTCGTTTTAAGTAACAAGGCATTTTATATTCCTTCTGTCTGGTAATTTAATCTCTGATTATTTAACGATGTTTGGTTAGTGTCATGTGAGATAATCCGTGACTAACCCTTTGAGTATTATTTCATGTTTAACGTTTTTGTGTGTTCTAATATTTTGTGTTATGAGTTGACGACAGGTGATGAGATTGTTTTGGTGCGAATTGGATAACGTTGGCCTATGGTCTGGGACTGGCGAGTCGGCGTGGACTCAGCATGTCTTCGGCAGCTGTGGTAGCGTGTTGAACCTACCTTTGGTGACGACCATGGAGTTCATCGACGCTTCAGCAGCTGCGGTAGCGTGTTAAACCTACCTGGAGTGACGAGCAACTCACGACACTGGAACCAGCGACTCGTTAGCGGACGGAAGATTGACGTAGAGCAGTCAGCTAGCTTACTACGATTCTCGAACGGCTGGGGTTGTGTGATGAACCAACCAGAGGAACTCACATCACGCTGTTGGCCAGCTTCGGTGTTCTTCGATTGATTATCCAGCGGCAGTGGTTGCGTGACAAACCAACCATTGCAACGGAGAACAACGGTCAGCGAGACAACCGGGGCTTGGTCAACGTGTACCCAACGAGTGTTGAACCGTTGTGGTGGATCTTGGCGTGGTGTAAACCCAAGAAGAAGCTCGCATCGGGGGTGGCACTCAACAACGATGAACGGACGGCTATCACGGGACTCACTGCGGCGGACGGGGCAGTGACACGGGACCGTGTGATAAACCGGATCCCCGAGGACTACATGCGAAGGGTGCAAGTAGCTCGCATCGGGGGTGGCACTCAACAACGACGAACGGACGGCCACCACGCAGCTCACTGCGGCGGACGGGGCAGTGACACATGTCCGTGTGAGAAACCGGACACTCAGGACGTCAGCGACGAAAACGTACGAGTAGGCTCCCCGGCTGTAGTACCGATGTAGGGCGCGCGGGCTGGAAAACCCAGGCCGCGGTGAAGACCAGGTGAGGATAGCAGAGCCCCAGCCTACGACGACGAGTGGGGGGGTAGAACGCACCTCAGCCTGTAGCCGTGGTCGACGGGTGAGCTCGAACCCTATGCTACAGTGGCGGGTTGAGTCGGCTAAGCTCAAGGTACCGCGACATCACGAGTCTGTGTGCAGAACCAGACAGACACCCAGGACGGAGGCGGAGACCGACGGGGCCGAGGACTACCGGCTGTAGTCTCGATTGGGGCCACGATGGACGCCCAGCCTGCAGTGAAGGCGAAGTAGCTGCGACGTTAGGTGGGTGATCCGAACCCCGACTACAGCGGCAGGCGGAGTTCCCCAGGTACCGCTACGACGCTGGGATCTGTGTGTTGAACCAGATTCTCCTGGGGCTACATGAGGACATGTAGACGATTCGGGGATGACGACTAACGACAATGGAAGGTCATCACGTCTCACTGCGGTGGAAGGGGCAGTGACAGGGGTCCGTGCGGTGAGCCGGATTCCCATACGACGACGACAACGACAGGGGTCCGTGCGATGAGCCGGATTCCCACGATACGACACCAGCGGCTAGTGTTCCTGCAGCGAGGAGGACACACCTACGACTGAGACGACAGGCATCCCTGCAGCGTGCAGGATTCCTAGACGACGGCAGAGACAGGGGTCCGTGCGATGAGCCGGATTCCCATACGATAGTCTCAAGCCTCCACGTAGTACGTCACATTTATGGCGCCCGAACAAACGACGGCAACGCCGGTATCCCTGCAACGAGCAGGATACCTATACGACGACGGCGATGACAGGGATCCGTGCGATGAGCCGGATTCCCAGACGACAGCACCGACAGGGATCTGTGTGAGAAACCAGATGCCCAGACGACAGCGGCGACGGATGGGAAGTATGACTCGACTCTGCAGTAGCATCGATGGTGGTCACAACAGACCCAGCCTGCAATGACGGCCAGGTGAGGCCGGATGAGCCCCAGCCTACTACGACGAGTGGGGGGGCGGAATGTGCCTCAGCCTGCGGCTGTGACGTCAGGAGGGTGACCGTGGACCCCAGGCTACAACGGCAGACGGAGTCAACCCATACTTGGTGTGCAGAACCCAAGGGCCTGGCTGGATGTCGTGTGCTGAACACGATAACGATTTCGGGGGTGGCGACTAGCTTCCATGGAAGGCCACCACGTCTCACTGCGGTGGAAGGGGCAGTGACCGGTCCGTGAGGATTAATCCGGACTACGGCGACATCTGTGTGATGGACCAGATGCTCGAGATCTCCGACGCGGTAAACCTCAGCCAAGGCGACGGCACGGCTGAGTGTGAAGGTAACATCTTGTCGCGAACCCTGGAAGGCCAACCCAAATCTCCGTACTGAGGCCTATCCGGAAACTAAATGTGCTGTATAGCACGTGGTACTTAAACCTGGCATGTAAACTAGTGTTATATGTTTCAGTGTGGGAAAAGTACGTCACAAAGAAATTTGTAGGGGCCTATTACATGGTTAGTTAAATTTATTTTGCATCACAAATATTCTACTCAGTTTCCCATAACGCAACATATTTCCTGAACACATCTACCCCACGCAGAGGGTATTGTATTTGGTATTTTAGTATATCGATTGACCCTATTTGTAAGTACCAATGTGCATGAAATAAATAAAGATCTTTTGATTTGATACTTTCATTGTAAACACATCAATAAAAGTTGTTTGATAACAAATATCAATTACTATTTATAGGCCTATATCTATATTTCAACAATTTGCGTAAAAAATTGATCTACTGCCTATACAAGCACAAGTCTACAGTGTATGCTGTTCCTTATAACACAGTATTGTTATTCTACGTATCAAACAGTCTACCTTGAGCAGCAGTTCCCGCCTTCTCGTCCGTCACCATACTCGTGGCAACGTCATCCAGAATTATCTGAAACTCCGGTGTCCAACTGGCAAAGTACACAGGTATAAACACTTCCTGGGAAAGCATAAATTTTTCCAAGTCCATTAGAACCTGAAAACATACGCAAGTTACTACAATTAGTAGATTTAACCTGTTTTAAGTTCTACCTGTAAGAGCGAGCAAACTTGAAATAAAATATTGTTTGAATTCCCAGTTTTTAACAATTTTTAACCTGTAAGTTATGTACCAGTAGCTATTGAGTTTATCTTACTTGTTTTTCAGAGGATGGTAAATTTTCAACATCTTTTGGAAGAACAACCAAAAGTGCGCCAGCTTTTGACCGTATTTCTCTGAAGTGTTCAGCAGAGAGATCTTGGAACCGAACAACGACACAGTGTCGAGACGTACTCCAACTGGTAAGGGAACGAGCTTCTAGATTCACTGGGGCAGAGCGACAACCTGTCAAAAGGATAATAAGTTAATTCATTAAAACCTATATAAACTGTATTAGATGTGAAACTAGAACCAGCTGTCCCTGATCATTGGGCTTTAAATAACTAGTTAAATGATCCTGATTGATGAAACAAACAGCTGGAGCTGATTTCAGTCAGTAATCACAGCGAAATCAGAAAGATCTTCCAAGATCGCAGCAACATCCACAATCACCCTCTGCAGTTGTGATTTTTTACTTTGCACTTTACACAACTGTCTTTGAAGCGCCGTCAATGAGTGGAAACCTTTTTTGTAAGCTATTGGTAACGATGATTAAAAAAATGTAAGTTTCCCAGCACTAATACAACACTGATTCACGGTATTTTCCCCGATTATCAAAACTCAAGAACAATCGTTGCACTTGCGATTAATTAAACCGGTTAAGTAAGGCACGTTTTTAATCTCACTTGGTTTTGATGTGCTAACAAAACTTGATCGTAAATGTTTGCGGTATTTGTAAACAACTTTTAATGTAAACATATCAGTGACAGCTAGAAGTGAGAACTAATCCAAACAGCTGATCATCTATATATAATCCAACGTACCGTATGCTTGTTTGTATGTACCTATGTATGTTTGATTGTTTGTTTGTTTGTTCGTCCTTTATGGACTCCGAAACCGCTCGACAGATTGTAATGAAACTTTCAGGTATTATTAAGCATTATTCAAGGATGGTTTGTGTGAAGTTTGGTGCAGATCCGTCAAAAGGGCTCCGCCCCAGTGGCTCTGGAGTTTCCCATGTTAACCTTATGAGTATTCATATTTAAATGTTTAATTCTGTGATGTTCAATAGCATTAAAAATTTAATAGACTTACCAACAGGGTGCAGCACTCTTATTTTTTTAAATTTATGACAACAGCTAATTTGCAACCAAAAGGTGAGTGAGCGTAGCGAACAAACTTCAACCTAGAGGTGAGTTAGCGTAGCGAACGAGCTAACCTGAAGGCAAGTGAGCGCAGCGAACGAGCCCCAACCTAAAGGTGAGTGAGCGTAGCGAACGAACTTCAACCAGGACGTAATTGAGCCATTCGAACGAGCTCATCTTGAAAATGAACGAGCATTTGACATAAAACCACATTAGGACAGGACGACGTCTGTCGGGCCAGCTAGTTATTTCATAAAATGTAATAGACCTAGTAAACATTGGGAGAAAATTTGACAAAAATCGAACAAAATTGGGTTTTTGACGGTTTGTTATTAGGCTATGAAACGTAAAAATAACCAAAAACTGCATGAGTCTAAGCAATGTAGCCTACAGACAAAACTGTAATTTTATTTATATAGATTCGCTACTGAACGTCGCATATATGCGACGCCACGGTCAATGCCACAGACCGAGGTATACATTTGAATCTTACACATAGACCGGCTATCACTTGGTTAACAGTAGCCTACACATAGACCACGGAAGAAAACCTGTAAAACAGTGATCATTTACATTGTAATACACTGCAATCATGTTTGTAAATGATTTATTCTTGTCTTTTTGTTTTTTTTTATAACCATTTGTAATGTCACATATTTGCAACGCCCGGTCTACAGCGAAGACAATAATGAAAATTATCTAGTTTACTTGAAATAGCCCAAACACCAAAAATATGTGACAGTTCATTTTTGTTTGTCTTTTGAGGTGAAAGTAGCCTAAGTAAAAAAACAGATTATTCAAGAACAGTTAATAACTTAACAAATATAAAAGCTAGATAGGATAATGCAGCATACATACTGCATACATAAGTATACATACAGTGATGCAGAAAAGTAAAGACCAGTTTTTCCAACTATCATATGACGTCACCAATCATCATATCCACAGACCAAGCAATGCAGTTGTGCGTCAGACATATCTGTAGACCACAGCAGGGAATTCAGAGCCTTCGTTACAAAGATGTAGGTAAGCAATTTAATAACATTATAAACCTGACGCAAATATGCGACGGCAGTTTATGGGTAGAAACCGGCCGTCGCGTGCGTCGCTGGTCCAGGGTACAGTTTCTTAACTGGGCTATGCTAATATTGATGGAAACTATCGAATAGAAAATATTGATTAATAATCGATATTTTTTAATATATCTATGATAAAATTAAGCTATCATAACCTAACCTAACCAACCAAACTTGCTGATGGTGAAAAAATCGCATGAAGGTTTACTAGGCCCTAATCGAATTGATAGTTTCAATCGATATTAGCATAGCCCAGTTAAGAAACTGCACCCCTGGTCCATGTGAATGACAAATTTTGTACTATTGCAGTAGCGAACGTGTTAAGTCATATTGCCAAAGATTAACTTGAGTTATGACTTAAGCATTTTTTGTTGTTGAAAAAATTGTTTTAATTAATGCAATAATATTGAAAGTGTAAAACTTAACATTGCAGCCAAGATAGGCCCAGCTTATTAATATACCCTAACAGCTCCCTACACCTCCAATGTGATAGACCTAACTTAGTAAGTCCTAGAACTAACAAACTAAATTTAGAGGGTCAATTTTTTATAGCATAGGCCTAGGCTGCATTAATACTGATAGGCCTAATACAAATAAATTACCGTGAGGAACACCATGAAGATCAAACTGTTGCATCCGGTAAACTGGAAATTCATAAGAAGCTTCTACAGGATTTATTGGTGATATAATGATAAACAACGGTAAAACAATTAAGAGATAAAATGGAAAGATTCCTTTAAATATTTCCGAGAATTCATCGGCCTCGTTTAACCACATGTTTAAAAATATATACTAAAACACGAACTTCACAAGATTTGCTATTGATGTAACAAAACTAGCGCAATAAAGCCACAAAAGCTAATAAAGCATCACTCAGCAGAATTTAATCGAACTTCCTAATCCTAACCTAACAAACCAGACGACGCACCGAATCGACCGACCGACACATATGAATGTTTTATTGAATTGGAAAAAAATAAACCATGTGTAAACTGAACTGAAACTGTTAAGGACAGGTATAGTGGGACTAATGAAAGGAAGAGAAAATCACGAAGAAGAAGAAATGTGGAAAGCCTCGATAGAATACGACTACATTTTTTATGTATCTTTAATCTTTATCATTGATTATGAGCTTGTCCCGGCTTGTCTGAGTAGGATCTATGGTGTAGGTATATATTGGCATAGATAACACATGTTTTAACTATAAAAAACCAATACACATTGCGCAATTCACATACATTACCAATTCCTAAACATTCAACAACATTTTTCAAGAAGCATTATTACTGTACAATGGCATAGCACTTTTTAATTCACTTCCACTTCCTCCGTTGTACTTTAAGATAGGTTTTAAACAATGATATGAGTGATAGTAATATAGTCAGAAATATACTCCTTGCTGAAAATTTCCGTTTGTTTTCTTCTATTACTTTTTATTCTGCTCTATACTCTAGGATCTCGTTCTCGATCTGCTGCGCTGTGCGCTGCCCTTTTCTTCTTGTTCTTCGCTGTTCTTTTCCGGTTAGGTTATAGCTGACTCCTCATCATGGCTGATCAGGTATTTATATTTTTACTTAACTTACTTTTATAAAACTAGCATTTATTTGATTGATACGTAGAATTTTAAATTAGCAGTACGTAGTAGCCTCATTTCATTTTAAAGCAAAATCCCTGATTCATATTTTTCTCATGCTAGACCCCAGTTCTCTCCTTAACCTATGCTAGGCATCACTTCACTCACATGCGTGTCAAGCACAATAGTTGCCTTGCCTTTGAAGGATGCTTATTTCTGCTGTCCTAGTTCTGTACCTATCACTAATGTCATCATATTCAAACTCATGAATTTAGCTTAGCCTCTATATGACAAAATTAGGGCCAAGTTACCCTTACATAGATGTAGGCTACTCCAAGGGCTTGGAAAAAATCACAGGTAGGGCCTATTTGTTTACGTTAGGGGCTTCTAACGAATTTCGAAAAAAACTATATTTCTCATTATTTGGCCTATTTGAAAACCTTTTTCAATTAGCACTTTTGGGTAATTTCATATTTCACCCTGAAATTTTACATAGCTAGTCCATGTCTGGCAAATTCTAGGCTACGTTTACACAGGTTTAACTTAGGCCTAAGTTACAACCTGAAACTATACTTTTGTTGATTTTAAAATTGTACAAGATTATAGACTATCAGTCAGAAATATTTGGGGTACAGTTTCTTAACTTGGCTAGGCCTATGCTAATATTGATTGAAACTATTGATTCGATAGGTAAACCTTCATGCGATTTTTTCACTATCAGCAAGTTTGGTTGGTTAGGTTATGATAGATTAATTTAATAATAGGTTGAGATATATTAAAAAATATCGATTATTAATCAATATTTTCAATTTGATAGTTTCAATCAATATTAGCATAGCCTAAGAGCCTTATTATGCGCGGCCACTCGAGTGGCGCGCGACCGCGACTGCGGTGGCGAGGCACACGACAGTCGCCGCGACTGGCCACTCCAGTCGCGCACCCTCGCTACTAGTCGCGAGCCCACGCACCACCAGCGGGCCATGTTATCATATGCTGTTTATTACGCGCGGCCACAGTCGCGGGCCACAGCGGACCCTACTCTCTGCCCTCGCCTCAGTCCTGAATTTTGTTTCAACATTTTATTTAATTATATTACCTATAAGTTATATCAATAAATATTGGTTTTCTTTTCCGAGTCGGTTCGGCTCTTCTACCTGACCGATGTTCATAATTTTGGTCTTAATTTCACGAACAGATTCGCCACCAAGCATCATCATTCATGTATCTACTGTATCATTTGACAAAAAATAAATCAGATTTTTTATCAAATTCTTACTTCAATTAAAGCCGTATCTCGCCAGTTCTGACTACATTATCCTATATGTTTTGGTCTAAGAACATTCAGTGAAATGTCAGCTTTAATTTTGACCTATTAATTATTAATATCGGACGTATACGCTACTGACTCACGAATCAACAATTAATAATTATTATTTTAACACTTATCTGCAATTGCACTTACGTATCTCCAATTTCAGTTATTCTACATGTCTTGGTCTTACAATAGGTTTTAAGTTAAGTTACCTGCTGTAGCCCCCTGGTGAAAGTGTTTTTCCTTTTTAATTATGTATTGGTATGTAGAGTAGTATAAAGTATTGTAAATTGATTATAAGTTGAATGGGCATCAACGATTCTGTATTAAATGGACTGATACAACTCGTTCCCCACGCACAGGCTTTGCCTATGTGGGGACCATCCTTTATATGTATATTATAATTTTTGTAACATATTTTTTGTCTGGAATAAATGATTTTTTTTTTTTTTTTTTTTTTTTGATAGGCCTACCCTTCAAAACAAAGGCTTTCATTCGAGATGTTAACCATTTGAATCAGTTAAGTTCAAGATACTGGCTGTATTATTACTCAATTATTACCATTATTGTGAATACAATGTTGACCCGGGCAACACCGAGTTTTGCTGCTAATATTGTATTAATATTATGATTAAATCAAATCAAAACCATTATAATATTTAATTTAAGGTAAGTGCTAGCCTCTCCTTAGCTGAAATAAAATTATTCATTTTCCTATGCGATACGGATAAGTCGCCTTATATTCTTCCTAAAAGGTTATAAAAAGGACGTCTCGTCTCTCAGAAACAACCAATATACATCTTGTCGTCATCTCTGAAATCATCATAAACACTGAAAAATACCCCTGAGGTCTTACTTTTAGTAACGGATTGCATCCCAATACTTTTGTTTCGTCTACGTTTACGACGCTTAAGTAAAAGTAAAATAAATAGTTCAGCTTCTTTACTTAAGTTATTCACTCTAAGAAACTACATGTATGTCTGTAAAAAATTCGGTCAGTCGCGTGGCCTCGCCACACCGGTCGCTACCCCAAGCCACACCTGTCGCTACCCCAAGCGACTGGCAGTCGCGGTCGCGCGCGACTCGAGTGGCCGCGCATAATAAGGCTCTAAGTAGCCCAGTTAAGAAACTGTACCCAATATTTGTTCCAGATGTCAACATTTTAGCGAATTTCCCATATAGGGAATAAGCTATTACCGTAGTACTCATGGTAAGACCTGGACGCGGGACCGATTTTTTTTTTCGTTTTGAGGTCCCTAGAGGCCAAAAACACCATCCGTTCAAATTCATATATATATATATATATGTGTCCGTTAGCGCGATAACTCGAGCAAAAATGATCCGATTTTGATGAAATTTGGTACAAACGTGTAAACCTACGTTTATTCGAACGAGTTCGCGATCCAGCATGATCGGACCATGGGAACGGGGGTTTACGGGGGCTTTTATGGGGTAAAAATAGGTTTTTCCCATTTTTGACCCAAAAAACATAAAATTTAGCAATTTCTTTCTAAACCATTTTGTAGAGCTTAAAAAAACAAATAATTTAGTATATTGAAGCGTTATTATGCGCCTAATGGTTACGGAGAAAATTCCAAAAAAATTTAAATTTAAAATTCCCATGTTATTCTTATGGAGAATAAGTAAACTGTTGTAATTTGCTTGTTTATGAACATATTTTGATCAAATTTGGAAAATGTTTTTATTTCTTACTAACTACTAACATTTTACAAAAAAAAAAAAACCAGTTTTACCCTCCCTGATGCAGCAAACCTAAGTAGGGCCTACTTGTTAAACTAATTCTATTTAAATCGGGAATAAATTTTTAAGTAGACATTTCAGTGTAAATCCAATCAGTCAAATGGAAATTCGCTTAGTCTGCAGGTTTGCTGCGGCGGGGGTATTATTTGTTACTAAGCAATTTCAAGAGAACCTTTTTTTAAGATCACAGTATTTGGGCAGATTATTCCTACTTTACATATTTACACCTATTGACTTATTTGTAACTCGCCGATTATTGTGAAGTAATGGACCTCTTTAATCTGAACCCCCGTAATCCGAACGCCTCATCGCTGTGTACAGAACTTTTTTTGTTTCTATTGTAACTTAATGTACAGTACCTACTGTTAATTCACTATGTTTATTACTGTTTTATATAACGCAGAGGATACGCGTCCGGTAACCGAACGTGGATTAGGTGTCCGGCAGTTACTGTCATAACCTAACCTAACCAACCATAATGCTGATAATGAGAAAATCAAATGAAGGATAGATTCTGTTCTTAAAATAAAATTATAAATGTCACCATTTCTAATCAAAGATGTACCGGTACAGTTTAGTTAAGAAGAAATGGCATTCAAAGCAAAATCTTTGATAAAAAGTTAAAGTTGCCGATGGGATTCGAACCAAGGACCTCTTGCATATCAGCCGAGCACTCTACACCACAAACACTGATGGCTATAGGCCTACATCGTATCGTTATGGTAATTGCGTTCCGGACCCCCACAACCTGGTGACGTCAATTCCGGACACCTAATCCACACATTTATTCTGTGTTTAAATAAACACTGTATTTTACTTTATAAATCATTTTCACTTTTCCTGTAACAATTACGATCCATTTTAACTTAGCCCACATTTTAGTTAACTTTTTGTTATGTAGGTAAAAACAACAATCTAGGCTATGTTCTGTAATCCAAACTATTCAATAGCAGGGTGTCTACTAGTCGGGAATTCCGGGAAAATCGGGAAAAAGTCGGGGATTTTGAAAGGTCGGGAAAAGTCGTGAAAAAGTTATGAATTTCGTCCGAAGGTCGGGAATAATCTAACCTTTCAAAATAAGGGATGAACGGATCCCAAAAATTTTAAAAAACTTTCTGGATCTTATATTCCTGATTCATACATTATTGAGTCAGTATTCATATACATTATTGAATCAGTATCCATATACGTTTTTGAATCAGTATCCATACGTTATTGAATCAGTATCCAAATACGTTTTTGAATCAGTATCCATACGTTTTTGAACCAGTATCTATAATTTATTGAATCAGTATCTATATACGGTATTGAATCAGTATCCATATAAGTTTTTGAATCAATATCCATACATTATTGAGTCAGTATCTATATACGTTTTTGAATCAGTATCCATACGTTATTGAATCAGTATCCAAATACGTTTTTGAATCAGTGTCCATACATACGTTATTGAATCAGTATCCATATACGTAGTTGACTGTTACATTGATACTGTTACTTTGACTATCAGTATCCATATAACTTATTGACACTATTCAAATTATTGACATTAATTTATATAAGCTATTCACTGAGACATTGCTTAGCCATACAAATTATTACCATCCAAGTACATGGCATACACTGAGACATTGCTTCGCCATAGGGGTTATTGTTATCCAAGTACATGGCAATCACTGAGCCATTGCTTAGCCATACAAGAAATTATGTATACCTTGTAGGTTTTGATTCTATCCTCTTATTTTATCAATGTAAACCAATTGAAGGATTCAGTATAAATCTTGCAAAGGTTTTTGTTTGTTTACACCAAAACATATCTTTATATTTATAAAATCAATAAAATAAAATAGGTAACATGCTGAACAACATGATGCTGCAAGTAAAAATTATGAAATAGGCAAGAAGCTCACTGATATTTTCAGAAATACTGTTTCTTCTAATGCATGATTGAAAACAAATATTTCATTCCATTGACAAGTATGAATAGAAAAATGCCATGTTGCGTCGAATTGAGTTACATTACAATTTGTTGCTGCTTCACACACCCCAACATTGATATGGGATTTTCTCGGTATGTGATTCGTTTAGATCGTAAGTGAATTCGCTGCGTCGCGGGTGACAACATATGTTGACGAAGGTACCGTGACCGCGAGACGGAAAAAGGTGTAGTAACATGGAGAATGGAGTTTTTGGTCGGGATTTTAATAAAAATGGTAATGAAAAGTCGGGAAAAAGTCGGGAATTCCATTTGAAAAATCTGGTAGACACCCTGAATTTGTTGCTGCTTCACACACCCCAACATTGATATGGGATTTTCTCGGTATGTGATTCGTTTAGATCGTAAGTGAATTCGCTGCGTCGCGGGTGACAACATATGTTGACGAAGGTACCGTGACCGCGAGACGGAAAAAGGTGTAGTAACATGGAGAATGGAGTTTTTGGTCGGGATTTTAATAAAAATGGTAATGAAAAGTCGGGAAAAAGTCGGGAATTCCATTTGAAAAATCTGGTAGACACCCTGAATAGTCCGAACTACCCTTTGTCCCTTTTAGTTTGGATTAAAGAGGTTCTACTGTAAATATAAAATAGGTTTTAAATGATATTTTTTATGCTTAAAAAGTCTATAAGGTGTGAACGGTGTACAACTCACACAACACAGGTGTGTAACTCGCTTGAATTAGGTCACAGGGGGTCACTGTTGACTGGCTAAGTAGCCGAGTGGATATAGTGCTTGCCGGTCGTTGGTTCAATCTTGAGAAAAGTCAGTAACTAAGTAGGCCTAGCCTATGTGGCCACAGTTGTCTTTAAATATTAGTCTATTTGTTTGGCTATTTTTAACTTATTAGGCCTAACTTACTTGCACTTATAATAATTTACAAAAGGATAAGACAGTAAGTTGGTGGTTCATATTTTATTAGTCCTTGTAGTAAAAGTGTTTATTGTGGTTCTCAGACTCAAAATGGTTAAGGGGGCCATTTACCAAAATATCAAAATTTCCTTGTATTCTAATACTTTCAGTATTATTTAACTCTATGAAATCGGAAGGCCAGCAGGAGTGGCCACAACACATTCGGCAGCCAGTTGGAATTCTATCAGTACCGTACTAACTCGGTTCTGATGGTCGGACGGCCAGCTGTACTGGCCAAGTCCCACTCCACGCCACCTAGGCATTTATGATGGTGGATCGCTCCTGGCAGCTCGGAATTGTTTTTACTGGAAACCTGCAATGTTAGCATTGGGGATTTTAATTGTAATAAAACAATTGTTTTTTTTTTATACTGACAACTGTGTTATTTAATAAAAAAAAACAAATAAGATAGCCTATATCGATTGTAAACATAGTCACATTTGTTTGAAAATGGAAAGTTAAAGAATTTACGCATTTACTAAACGTGTAAAATGTAGGCATATGTATATTTGTCACTCTTACAAACAACAATTTGAAAGTTCTCTTTTAATCTTCTGTGATTTTTTCACTAAGGTTAAGTGGTATTTTTCAAAACGTCCACCTGAAGTCCTGGATTGTTTGAAGAAGTTTTACAAAAAAAAGTCGACGTCGCTTTTGTGGTCTGGGATCCAAAATAAATATCGGGATGGTCAACATCTTCTTCATCAGCAAATTTTTAAGAAGTCTCACAATTCTTCTGATCTTAAATGATCAATCATTTTTAGGCTACTTAGTTAAATATAGGCTACAGAAATAAAAACAAACACAACTTCATTCTTACTACTAAATTTTTATACGGAATAAAACAATTTTATTGTAGGCCTTAGGGCCTATTATGATAAAAGTGTAGGCCTATACGTAAACATGGGATCTAACTAGCTTGTTATTTTTAACTTATTTGTTTCTCTGTACTTTCACTTAGCCAATATAATGATTTGTTTGTTTAGTATATAAGTTATGGAACTATCAAGAGCTCAGGAATCTGGGACCATTAGCCTAGAATTTCTAGTCTGCTATAAACCTAAAGCATGTTTGGCATTAGTCCATGGAAGAATTAATTTTTTCTGTTTTCAGACTGAGCGATCATTTCAAAAGCAACCAACAATCTTTCTAAACCGAAAGAAGGGTTTGGGAGCAAAGAAAAGGAAGTCGTTGCGTTATACACGCAATGTCGGTTTGGGATTTAAAACTCCCCGTGAGGTTGGTACTTGATTAAACTGATTGTATGTTTGTAGACTGAGAAGGCATTCCAGAAACAACCGGGTGTTTTCCTGGCCAGAAAGCCAGGACTGAAGAAGACAAAGGCTAGGAGATCTCGCAGTGTCGGTCTTGGGTTTAAAACTCCCAGAGAGGTTTGTACCAATCAGCTGTTAATGACAGGTGTCGGTGGTCGAGGGAATGTCTTCTGTCTTCGGCTTGGCTTGAGTCAATGGGATCTGATCGCTAACAATAAGGTTGAGGTGTAAGGATGGTGCTAAATACCCTTTCTATCATTGTAACAAATGCCAAAATGGGTTTTACCATTTTAATAAAATAACTGACATAGACTAGGCCTTCTGCTATAAAAATAAGAAACCTAATTAAATTTTTAAATAAAAATTAGTCACACAATTTGTGCTGATATGCTACGGTATTATAAAAACGTGTCATACCACTGTTAAAATTAATTATAATGGAGTGATTAGATTATTTGTTGTCTGATTATTTAGTCTGTTTATCCTTTTAACTGTTAAATAACTATTCTTTTCCTATTATTTTTTCTCTATGAAAATAAACAGTACCTACTCGATACTGTGAGAAAATTCAAGATTATTAAGTTTAAGGCCTACTAAACACCAAAATATTGTTTTGTTAAATTCTATTTCACTGTGGGCTTTTTTTTATGAAAAAAGGGATTTTTTTTTTAAGATGAATATGCCCCAATCCTTAAAACTATCTGAATCCACACTGACTAACATTTGGTGGTGAAGGGCCTAAGAAGTAGGCTAATAATTGTTAAGTGTTACTTATATACATTTTTTTTGTTTATATCTACTCAGCTGAAGAAATTGTTGTAATAGATTACTTTACTCATAAAGCTGCTATGTTGACTACAATTAGGCCTATTGGTACCGAATGTGTATTTTTAACAGGCTTATAATATCAAGGTGAATTTATGATATGAAAAACATCATGTAGGCAAATTGGAAATTAAAACCCGTTTGAAAACTGCACTACCCGTTGGAAATTAAAATTTCTTGTTTGAAGAGTGAAAATTTTTAAAGATAAACCATAGGTACATTTTCCAAATCTGACATGATTTTTTTAGCATGGTTGTTTTGAAATAAAAAGATTAAAATGTTAGGATTAGTCTACTACCTCAGACCAATGCTTTATTTTATCCTGCAAATTAAAAACCATTGGTTTGTATATTCAAAAATCTGCATGGGTGTATGGGTTTTTGTACACCTAAATTATTGTCCTCTGAAATTTAGTAAGCCTTGATATTATAAGCTTTAATTGCTAACACTAACTATTTATAAAGTGGGTCTAACTAACTCGGTTGTGGAGCTGGACAAAAGGTGAATATTGCATGGTTTATAGTGTTAAGAATATTTGTGTGCAAGTAATAATCTACTCTAAGTAATAGTAAATTATTGTAATTGTTGCTTGCCATTGTTTAACCTGGTTTTATCTTTGTGCTATTATTTACTAATCCATAATCTTAAGAGTTCAATGTATTAATTTATGCTTTAATTTTACAGGATATTTTAGCTAAGCTAAATGTGGTTGATCTAGGCAGATGTGTTTACGGTTTTGTACTGCACAATAAAGTGAAACGTTCTGAATTAGGCCTCCTGGAAAACTATTAATTTATAGACAGCTGCCATTGGTAAAAGTTTAATATCGCAATCTCTTCTAAAAATTTTGCTTTTTAGCGAATTTCCCATATAGGGAATAAGCTATTACCGTAGTACTCATGGTAAGACCTGGACGCGGGACCGATTTTTTTTTTTTCGTTTTGAGGTCCCTAGAGGCCAAAAACACCATCCGTTCAAATTCATATATATATATATATTTATTTATATATTTATATATATATATATGTGTCCGTTAGCGCGATAACTCGAGCAAAAATGATCCGATTTTGATGAAATTTGGTACAAACGTGTAAACCTACGTTTATTCGAACGAGTTCGCGATCCAGCATGATCGGACCATGGGAACGGGGGTTTACGGGGGCTTTTATGGGGTAAAAATAGGTGTTTCCCATTTTTGACCCAAAAAACATAAAATTTAGCAATTTCTTTCTAAACCATTTTGTAGAGCTTAAAAAAACAAATAATTTAGTATATTGAAGCGTTATTATGCGCCTAATGGTTACGGAGAAAATTCCAAAAAAATTTAAATTTAAAATTCCCATGTTATTCTTATGGAGAATAAGTAAACTGTTGTAATTTGCTTGTTTATGAACATATTTTGATCAAATTTGGAAAATGTTTTTATTTCTTACTAACTACTAACATTTTACAAAAAAAAAAAAAACCAGTTTTACCCTCCCTGATGCAGCAAACCTAAGTACTTGTTAAACTAATTCTATTTAAATCGGGAATAAATGTTATATTTTTAAGTAGACATTTCAGTGTAAATCCAATCAGTCAAATGGAAATTCGCTTAGTCTGCAGGTTTGCTGCGGCGGGGGTATTACTCACGTTACAATTGTGATACTGTAGGTATCATTGTGACCTAACAGTTTTCAAATAAAGACAAAATCCTTACAATACATTAAGTAAAGTAACGACAAAAAAAAGTGTCGATAGACGCGCTGAATTATACATGCTGGAAGTGGAAATTTTAATTGTGTTGCGTTTCATCCAATAATTAATTATCTTATTTACTTCAAAATACCTAAATAACATAATACCATGATGATAAAATACCATGATAATTGCAATTTATACTGCTATTGTTCTCTATTGGCTCACCTCGCTTCACTGGGAACTTTTCACACTCAGGCTTAAGATGGTGGAGGGGCAAATAAAAGCAAGGTTAACTCAAGACACAAACTTCTTTAAAAATTATAAATCATAAACATTTGCTGTATGGAGGTAAAAATGTTTTGTTTTGTACCTAAGCTCTGAACCAATATTCATTTGGTTTTTTTTTATTCCGCTATAGGCCATCGAAGGCACCTACATTGACAAGAAGTGTCCATTCACCGGTAATGTGTCCATCCGAGGCCGCATCCTCACTGGGGTTGTTCAGAAGATGAAGATGCAGAGGACCATCGTCATCAGAAGGGACTACCTGCACTACATACGCAAATACAATCGGTTCGAGAAACGCCATCGGAACATGTCTGTTCACCTTTCACCATGCTTCAGGTCAGTTGAGAGGTTGCTTTTATGGAATAACTATGCAGATTTTGCCCAGTTTAATGTCGGTTTTGACAGTGAACATTTCACAAAAGCTACTCGTTTGGCAAGGTATTTTTCTTATTTTTTGCATATCACGGACTTGAAAATTCCATAACGTCTTGTATTGTTGTTCAGTTGTACATAAGCTGTGTCTGTTTGTAATTGGGTTCTGTATATTGTATGGGCTTCGTTAGTTGCTTACTATTATTAGGGGTGTGCGATGCAGCATATTTTTTTCGATTCGATGCATCGATGCGATTCAAAGAATTTCGATTCGATTCGATGCAGCACGGCATGATTTTCTTCAAAAATTTAATACAACATGTGTTTTTGTAATGGATCCTTTACCTTAAAAAAAGTTAAAGTAAAAAATGTACTAAATAAAATTATGAACAAGAGGATAGTTGCTGACCTAACCTCATTAATGGACACTGCTAATTTTATGGTTGGCCTAAGGAAATTCACCCTTCACTAACAATTAGAATAAGCCTATATATCAATAAAGCAATCGTTAAGTTTATTATTATTGACCTGTATTAAATAAAATAGAGTTTATTTTATGACGTATGGTAGTATTGTTACTTAGTTTTCACATTTATATTTGTTGGCTTTCAATACTTCTGGTTCATTCTTAAATCAGCACGAACCAAAAAAGTTGATAATCAGTGTTTACTATCTATTTTAGTGATGGTCGGATCCGGATATCGGACTACCGGATCCGCCGGCTATAGAACCGACGCCCGATCGTATCCACAAAAAATCGGATCTTGGGCTGGATCCGGTTTTAATGGATCCAATTTTATTTATACTATTAACACAAAATGGACGAGTATTCGAGATTTTGAGTTTGAGTAAAGTACAATATAGAAATAAGCAAGAGGTAGTTGTCTTAACCTATTTTTATAGCTGTCACGACAGAATAGGTCAACTCAAAGCAGTGGCCGGCGACTGACTGGCAATGGCAATGGTATACTGACTTGACATGACCGGTAGTGATTTTGTTTTAAAGTAGGCCTACTGTTTCACAATAGAAAATTTCACTACTGAACTACGTAAGCAATAAATTTATGTTTATAAAAGTCAGAATAGAAACACTATAAAGGCAAAACAATAGACGGGAGGCAGGCTGTGCAATGACCTTGAAATGAGCGGAATAGTAACATTGAGTAGGGGAAGGGAAGGGTGAGACCTTTGAGCTATATTTAGACTAGACTTTCACCACTTCCCAAATGGCTGGGTACGGGATTACAATAGCAGGTTTTTTCCTTGCCTGGTTTGACTTTTGTCTTTTTGTGTAGGAGATTTGAATAATCAAAAATATAATTTGAATTGACCACAATTATTTAGCATTGATAATACAATTTGCAAATGACCAGGAGGAAATAGAACAAAACACTAAAATTAATAGAATAACAAACAAAGTAAACAACAAATTAAATACAGAACACGGTGATTTAACACTGTCACTGTCACTCAATTTTGTTGTCTAGAAGGGTCGGTGAACTAATCAATAAATAGCCAAAACCAGTTTCCTCCCCCTCTAACCACCACCCCTCCCCTCTAAGCCGGGAGGCCCAACACTTTGTCCTTGAAACACCCTAGCCTCTGAAACAATAAACCCTTACACCTGCGTTGCTGTTTTGACAACAGGTTTATGAATGCGTTCACTATTTTTCATTTTCCAGAATTAACTATCAATTATTATTATTTGCAAGTTACAAATAGGAAACTACATGACATTATGGTACCTATTCAATGACCCATGTATTATCAAAAATTTATAATTGATTACTTATTTTGATAATAAAAAGCATTCATTACAGCACGCAGCACTTATTGATATATATATATATATACTGTATATATAATCATCAAAGTATCTGTTACTTTATACAAAATAAAATAGGTACAAAATTGTGTGGCCAGTCAAAATTTATAAACAAACATTTTATTCTATAAAATACAGATGGTAAATAGGGGTTGGTTTAAAGGAAATAAAATACAAAACAGATTAATTAATTATTTTGATAAACGATAGAAAGGTTATGGGATTGATTGAACTAAAATAACCACAGGGAATCTTAAGTAGAAAAGTCGTCAACCACAATCTGTTTAATCAGTACATCGTTAGAGAGAGAGGGGGGGGGGAGAGAGAGATAACAGATAGGGGCGTTTGATAGGGAATCTAAAAGTAAACAAACAAGGAACAACGAGGCGACAATACTCGTTTATAACCTTATTGTCAAATCTAGGTCTTTGTAAGACAAAAGAAAATCACACCGTTTTAAACTTTAACCTAATTTTATACTCTTTACAAACAAACACGTCCTACATAACGGTTCTTGATATTTATCAATGTATCTTAGCAATCGTCACTTGCTCCATTGAAACACGAACGTCGATTGGCTGACATGACAGTGCAGCGTGGCCTCTCGACCAATGAGAACTCTTGTTACATACTTTGATTTATCTTAGATGGTCAACATTTACCTTTCATTATAACATTACAAAATCGACATGGACTATGCGTATGGTGTTTTTCAATCAAAACTTATGTTATAGTAGCACTTAAAACTTCACTTAAACTCTTAAACTAGGTAGATAGTACAGATATAATGTGGATCTACTTTTTGGTGCAATAGGCAAGTGCAAGCCTAACCCTCTGACTTCGATGTTGTAATTGAATCGAATTTTTCTAATGATGCGTAATGCAGGGATGAAACTGAACATTTAGACAAGTTTAGGTTATTTATTTTGTTCTAAAAATAAAAATAATACATTTAAAGATCTGACTTATTGATACAGACATTTTTTAAGTATAATTTCGTGTTGAGGACACTCGCGCGCCGGTTGTCTGAGACTGAATTCTGACTTTCTGACATCTTGAAATGTAGATTGTATTGTGTTGTGCAATATCATCTGCCTGCAGAGAGAACAGCTGAAAATAAACTTTAGCTGTTTTGAACTAAATAGTGTGCTAAGTTGGTTACTAAAGTTGTTAGCGTGATTACAAAACTAATAGATATCAAATAAATAAATGTTAAAATAAAATATCTATCCATCCCTGTCGGCTGTCGGTATCGGCGGAATCGGGTGAAATCGATGTTTGGCAATCGATTCTTGATACCGATATTCCTAGTATCGGCAATGTCCGAGTATCGGTGGTAGCGATAATTGACACTTGACTAATGACAATTGACATCTAAAACTCATTTTGGAGTCCTGAATTAATTTTAAATATGCATCGGGACGTAATCGTTTTATCGGGAGCTAACCGATGCATCGGTCTTTTTCGATGCATCGAGGCCAAATCGATGCATCGTGATTTCGATGCATGCTGAATCGAATCGTGATTCGATGCATCGAATCGAATCGAAATTTCGATGCATTTTCGATGCATCGCACACCCCTAACTATTATTGAATGTTACAGAAAATTCACTGAATTTAGAATATCCGAGTCTGCAAGTTTGTTTGTGGATGGCTTTAGTTGTGAGGTTCTACTGTAGTAGACAGCTACCAGTCTTAAGTTATTACTTGAAGTATGAACGTTAGCTCTTAGATGGTTTTGACGTACTATAAAAGATTGCTGATCCGGAATCCATCGATTCGACACTTTCAATAGACCTACGGCATATGTCTAAAATGTAAAAAATGTTTTTGCAAAGAGCCATAGCAGATGTCAGACAAGAGCAATACTTCAGATGGTGGTTGCATTCTATATTTAGCGGTAGTTCCGCAACATTTGAAAGAACGACTATATGTGTAATGGAGGTACTTACAAAATCCAGCAACATCAAAACCCCAAACATACCGGATTAGCGAGAGTCTACTGTACCTGACTTGACTGTATCACGGCATTTCGTTACTTTAATGCCAATCCACATTAAGTTAATTAAATCTCATTGACCAGGCAGTAGTGTCACATTCAGGCTGGTATTTATTAGGCTGTGGTGACCCACAGTGGCGTGGTGGCTGGGTTAACCTGTTGCACTGACGAGTGTTGCTGTGGTCTTTGCACATGCTCGGCTCTGATTCCCCCCGTACAAGTACAATCGATATTAGGATAACTAATGTGGCTTAGCTGGTAGATTCACCCACCTTTAAAAACCGTCTCGGGCTTCAGTGGAGCAATAACATTAATGACTGCAATAGAGACATAACTAGATAAATAACATGGTTGCCGCACGTCAACTGTTGTCAGTCTAGCCTGTTGCAGCGAACCTGTCATCAAAATAACTATTTATGGTTGTGTTGCTGTAACGCTTCAGGAGATCCGCCAAAAGCCGTTTTTGAAAACTAATATTTCTGACAAAAACGTCAATAAGTTACATTCTTTTGTTTTGAAATCATCTTCAGTAGGCCTAGGCTATTCTTCACAAAAATATCCCCTTCTTTTAACAAAAATCTCAATTATTAAATAATTCGGATAAAACTGGTCTTGTTCTTCAATTGATATAACATTAAAGGATAAGAATATCATCTTATTAACTTAGGTGTTGCAATAACTAAAATCTATATCTATACTATTATATAAAAATCTAATGGTGTCTGTCTGTATGTGTATTACTAATAGGTGCAAAAGCTACTGTACAAACTGGACTAAAATTTTACAAAAATATAGTTACCATACCGAGGACCATTATAGGACTATTCACATTTCGATACTGACCGTAGGCTTTGCCCCTTTGGCTTTAAAGGTTGTGAGGTGAAGATTTTAAAAGTAAATATTGATTAGTCTCCATGGCTGCAGATGAGAACACTTAACAATGTTTGTTTACATTTGCTTTGTCATTTAAATGTAAACAAGAAGAACTGCTAAACTGCATATTTCACAATTTCAGACAGCTGATACAAAGAAATTAAATATAATATTTTCCATAACTATGAGGTAGGTTTATTTTAATCTAACCTTTTATCATGGATTATTTATTCTAAAACTATGTCAATGATTATATGAAAAAAAGATTCTATAACCGTTGCTGTATCAACTCCGGCTCTGCTTTGGATTTTTTTTAAGCGTCTAAGTTATGAAAATAATGTTATTAATGTGATTTGATGGAAACAGTATGAAAATTACAATGTATAGATATTTTATATGAATTTGGAGGCTACTTTAAATAAATTCTAACTCCAACTCCTTAACATGTGTTAGATTAACTTAACATAACTTGCACATCACATTGTTTTTTATATGTATATTTAAGTAAATTAAGTTATTGTGTTTTGCTAAACCTATGCATAAATTAAACTAAAGAATATCATCAATAACTAAATTGTACTGTGTTGATTTTCTTTTTAATCTGTTGTATGTAACTATAATTATTAATTATCAAATGGTAATACAAAATACTCTTATTTTGTCTTAACATAGCTTTCAGTTCACATTTACTTTATTTGATACATTTATTATTTGTGTTTTGCCACACCACTGATTAAATTAAACCAAGGAAAATATCATAAAACTAAGCAGTACAAAGTGTTCTTTTGTTTCTAAAATCAATGAAATATCTGTTACTATGTTTACTTTATGGTAAGTGTGAAAATGTAAAGCCAATGGACGATGGAACTGATTACATATAAAAGAACTGGTTTGTATATTAATAAGTTGTTTGTTGATATTTTTGTAGAGTAGAATCAGAGATGCAATGAAACATATACACTGTATTTGCTGTTAAATTGTTTAGGCATTGATGCTTTGATAATCATATTAGTTTTGTCTGCTGTCTTTAATGCTAAATTATTTGTTTAACATTTTTTATAGTGCCTATAGATATAGTTTCTTTAATATTTAAAAGACTGTATTGAAAAGGCATAGCAATATTTCTAAAGTTTATAACAGCTGACTTAGTTTGTGCTAATGATTTATTGTGAGTGAAGAAACTGAAGATGGAAGGATTTGTGATTTAATATAGGGTAAAGAAGAGTGACATTTAAAAAAATGTTCATATAAATTTAATAATTAGTAGTAACTTCAAAATTGAAATTTAAAATGTCAATAATAAATAAAAAGATATGTTACTAAGGGAGATGAAATGGTGGTATCCACTGCTTACCAGATAAAAGTCATAACTTAAACATTTCTATTAGCTGGCCATAAAAGTTGAATTTTGTTTCTAAAAGCGTTGGGGGATGTGTAACTATTATAGCAACAGATGTAAAGATTAAAATGTTTCTATTTTGTGTCCTCTTCCCGTTGCAAAGCACGGGTACAACAGCTAGTACCTACTAAAATAAGTTTGACACCTAGCACCTAATTAACACCTATTTAACACCTAATTTATCTATGCATTTTTTGTAACTTGCATTTTTTGTACTTTGGTTAAAAATTGTCGTGTTCAGTGTAAAATATGTAATATCAAAACAAAAGACATATGCCATAATTGACATGAACAACATAACCTTAACAAAGAACATTTGTGAAGAAAATTTTGTGACATAACAAAATTGCCACACCAAAGGGTTATTAATAATTTTTTCAGATATATAATTTAATGGGTTTTCAATACTCAGTTTTAAGAAACCGCCATGTTGCAGGGATGTCAGTCTTGGTGACGTTGTGACCATCGGCGAATGTCGTCCGCTCAGCAAGACAGTCAGGTTCAACGTTCTCAAAGTGACCAAGGGAACAAGAGCCAAAAAGAGCTTCAAGAAGTTTTAATTAGGACTTGTAATAAAATGTTTGTTTACAAACTATTTTGTTTTTTAGTCCTTTCTACACTTATTTTGTGGCGGTAAAGGTATTTTGAAAGTGGAGGATAACACTCTTGTGCGTTCTGGCTCAACTCTTTTCATACTTAAAATATTTAAAGCTGTTTTTACTATTTGTATGTTTTTAAAAAATTATTTTCGACTCAATATTTTGTTTAAGGGAATGGCTGGGCTTTTTAAAAATAATGCCTGCAATGATCCCTCAAATATACTTACCATAAAAAAATCAAACAAAGGTTGTTTTACTCTGTTTAGGGTTCTCACTGTATACACAGAGACCGTAAGATACATAGGAAAAGTGAACAAGAGACACTGTGGCTTTTAGTCATACATTTTCTTACTACAATACCATTAATACCATCCCTCTTGGTGATTATCAGTTCTTTGTTGGTCAACATGTGTTGTGATGTTCCCAACTCCAAGTTTACTCGCCGTAAAAAGAAAAAAGAATTCGACCTCAAAGGGTTAATGGAATTTTCTCACTGGCCAGCAATTGTAGAACCACACACATACTAAATATACTGAAACGTGCATCAAAACACACATACAATTATTATAGGTTTATTTTATTAGGTTGGTTATTAGGTTTATAATTTACAGTGCTGGCCAAATTATTAGACTAAACTCATTTTTATAGTTATTTGGTTTTTTTTTCAGCCAAAAAACTATTTTATTACTGGTTAAAGTACATATTCTTATTTGTGTGTTATTTTTAAATATTATAAGCTAAAAATTCTGTTTTTTTATTTTCACAAGTGGTAGCCCTGAATTATTTCTTTATTTTTGCTGTTTTTCCACCAAAGGCAGGGGTGCCAACTGCAAAATTAAATAATGAAGTTTTCAGCTTATACTATACTTAAGTAACATACAAAAGACATTTTATACTTAAATAGGCAATACAATAATTTTTTATGCAATTTTTATGTACGAAAAATATAAAAAAAACACGAAAAAAATGCATTAGTCTAATAATTTGGCCAGCACTGTATAATAGGTTCAGAAGTCACTAGTATCTGAACCCTACTATAATTATTGTTTTCACCATCAATGAGGCGTAGACATAAAATCGTATATCACACCAAGACAACATACATCTCTTTGTAATCGTTGTTTGTAAAGTAACAATGTTTGCTCTCAATATTGCTTAGTAACGAAAATCATTTCGAGATTCGTTCACTCAAGAGTTTTACTGGCTTTTAACTCATGGAATGGCTCTGGATTTAACTCCCGCGGGTGCAGCTGCGGGTAGAATTAACCTTAGCCCCAGACAGACAGACGTTATGATGACGTCATTTCATTAGTGGTCCTCATGTGGTCTCCGGATGTTCCAGAGTTTAGGACAATGAACGAGACATGAACTTCCATCAAACTTAGGCCTACGTGGTAAGTTCTTTGAATGTAATTAGACACGGTGTTGTATGGTCATCAGGAGATCACAACCATGTAATTTAGACTCAGACAACCGCTATGTCGGTAATTTAAATGCTAATCGATATATGAATGAATATATAGTTTATTCCAAAAAACATTGGCTACAAACAGTGATTATAAAATCAAATATACTTAACAGAGACTTATGACACTAAAATACATACAAGTTTTAATGAACCAAAATATTCAACAATAAACAAATGCAACTAGCAGACATAGGCAGTGCTACCTGTGCGTCTGCTAAGTTGCTGTCAAATAGAAAAAAAAGGAAATTATTGAATTTGTGGAATGGCAATTAAAAATAAAAGGGTTGTTATTATTAGTGATGTATGGAAATGTATTTTCGTGAACACGGCGCTGGCGAGTTTGCGCATTATAGATTTCGTGGTGGCCAGGAGAGAGAGAGAGAGAGACAGACTGTGTGTGTGTGAGTTTCGTGTGTAATGGTGGTAGTGAGGAGAGTGGAGAGTGATGAGTGGATTGTTGGCTATGAGTGGTGTAGAGAGTAGTAACATAGACTATATGTTTTATCTATGGTAGTAATTCGAATAATATGAAACTCTCTTGGTCATGTTTATTCAATTGTTCTATGAAACGTTATAATTAATGATTGTCCACACCTCGATTGTTTAACGTAAGTAAACCGAACGGGTTTAGTATTGTTTACTTGACGATTAGTTGTGTGGTCATCTATAGTCTGATACTATCAAACGTGGGTTTTAGTTGATCGGTCCATATTGTTAACGTACGGTATAATTATTTTGTAGTATCCTGGTAGTTGTTAACGATGTTGAACGATAGATAATCTTAAAGATGATGATAAGCGATAAACCAGAGTGATACAAGTTAGATTATTTTCAGGAGGACCGTTTTCAATAGCCAGTTCAAGAAAATTCGATTTTACTATTATTTTTCTCATTCTCTAGAAAACGTTAATTATTTGGAGGCATGGATTCTCCAATATGCCGCCCACTTACAAGCGAGAGGGTAGGTCCGGGGAAAAGATTTAATGTTAGCAAAGTAAAACAAAGAAAGTAAATTCTGTTGATGTCACTATGCCACTAGGTAATTCAACTAAACTGTTTATATTTTAAAATTTGTAAAAATAATTTAAAACCATGGAAACAATGCATTACCTACATCTTATTTATGGCGATGCAGTATGAACATATTCAACTCAGGGTGAAAAGTGAGTAAAATTCTTAATAATATCTAGTGTAGGTTTCTTATGAGTATGATATCCTAAAAGCCTCATTGTGTAGTAAAGTATGAAGTATTGTACTATTATTGCTACCAATCGTAATTTCATTAAATGAAAATGGTTAAAATAGACGGGCAGTGTAACTGTCAACTATTTTGGAAGCATATTTAATTTATCTTGGTTACAATCAGAATGGGGTTAAAGATTCAACTGAAGGTTCATCTTGTATATTACAATTCAAATTTAAACCGTTATAAAGAAAGTTAGTAAGCAACACTGGGAGTGTACTTGTTGACAAAATGTTATTTTGATCTATTAAGTTAGGGGAAATGCCAGAATCAGTGGTGTAGTCTGTGGACGTGCACGTGACTTATGGAGTTTATGAACCAGTCATTTATTTTTCTACCCTCGTAATAAATAGGAGATTATAGTTCATACTCGCACTAGTCGAACCGAGGAGCGTCTCGATCCTACCCTTGCGAATTCTTCGGACATGGGGTTGACAGTTGCTTTTCTGTCCGTTTCCCTTCCACCATCATGTGAAATGGTATTCAAGTTGGCATATTATTATCCTCTAACTTCCCTAAGGAAGTTGAAGATTTCAGACAATGGTAATACAAACCTCCAGTTGGACAAAGAATAACAAAAATAATAACAAATATGTATTGATGAGAGTTCATGTTCAATAATGAGATCCAAGAACTTGATTTTCATACTTTCAGTAGTTTTATATGTATACAGATCATAGATGTTTTACAATCTGTTTGTAAGCTAATTTGGAAATCTTTTAAAATGATTGTCGATGCAAATTACCCATTAATATTATTAGAAATCATCTCAGTTTAGACCACAAAGATAAAACTGTCATTTGTGCACATTTAAAATATACTATGTTGAGCAAGATTTGAGTTGTTTGAACAAAAACTCTACAGAGTGTGCTCATATCAACTAGAAAATTGTTTAACATCTGGTAGACATAAATGAAAAGTAGCATTACCAAAACAAATATTAAGACTCTGACTATAAAAATGTTCAAATGTTCAAATACAATTTTAAACAAAATCTTTAACGTTAAAAAAAACTTTAATGAGATTTGATTACTGTATACTGTAATCCTTAGTAGTTGGGGAAAATATTGAGATATGTTACAGTACTGAATCTGGTGTATTTAGTTTTAGATGTTACCAAATTTGAAATAACAGTAACTGAACTGAACATTTTATATGGAATTTATTGCTTTTGTAATTTGATACTATAACCACAGAGAAAAAAATGCTGTGACATTTCCTTTATAATAGAGAAACAAAGCTATAAGTGGCTTTTTTTATTAAGAATACAGTAAAACTTGCTAATTTGACTAAACTATATTTTTCCAAACGAAACTGATTCCATAGTATGCCTATATATTGAAATTTAAAACAAGTTTACATATTGCTTTAATTTAAAAAAAAATTACAATATAATTTTGTTTTTCTGTTTCATCACTTCACATCAATAAATGGAGTGCACGAGTCTCTGTCCATAACAAAAGGAAAATGTTAGTGCTGAAATTGTATAGAAGAAAACTACGAGAAGCAAGAGCAGGGAGGTGTTGGAAATACTGGAACAGTACAACAAATGGAGAAAATTGTGAGCAAAGGCTAGAAAACTTAAAGAATGTGTCAAGGCAAATCAAATAACTAAATCTCTAAAAGTTTACTAAGAACCATGATACCGTGATTTTGCAATAAACTTTAAAATGTTTTATTGTTCAGTTACTTACAGTATCCTTTAGGTTTTAAGTTTCATGATGATTGTTGTTACATGAGTTTTTACCTTAGTTTTATTTTTTTTCTTTCTCCCCCTATACATAGTATATTGAGAAAGTATCGTTTTCGTTAAAATTTTCGAGTTTGATTTTTGAATGGATATATCAATTTTGAGTCCCCCTGAACCCAAAAAAAGTGGGTTTCGAACTTGAAAACCACTGTGTGTCTGCGTGTGTACAGAGCTACAGACCACACCTGTAGTCCGATTTTGATGAAATTTGGTAGGTATGTAGGTACAAATTCATGGTATCTCCAGGCGTTTTTTCATTTCTTTTATTTAAAAATAAAATATAAAATATTTACTCTCACCGTTTATGATAAAAGGTTGTTGACAAGCTTATGGGAGAAAGTATGTGTCAGAATGCTGATACCATTTATTTCTAATTGTTGTACATATACTGCTCGTTATATAAATCATATAAACCCCGTATATACTTTGTTCTGTTTACGTTATTTTGCAAATTAAGAATGTCATACGTATTTAAAGATTAAAAATGTAGGCTATTATGTAAAAATATCTTTTCTTATAAATTCTGTTTTAG